TTATTTATGCACAAATGATTTAAAAATTTAGAAATAAGAAAAAAAAAAAAAACGCTCCTAAAAAGAGCAAATCATGACAAGGCCAATGATCTTATACATGTATCTACACAATTTTTCTGACCATGCCAAGAAATCCCGTCCATTTTTCCACAGCGATGGAGTCAATAAAAGTGTAATTGATGCAAATCACCCATATTCCCCTAACGCTGGCGAGACAATTAACGGCAGCAGATTTGAGGGGGTGGATCCTTAGTTTTCCGTTTTCTTAGTCAAAGAAAAATAAACTTCTACCCCAGGAAGTAGCCTCCTATGCCCTGAAAAAAATAGTTCCTGTCAAAAACCTTTATTTATTTACAAAATATGTAAAATGCACTAGACACAGGTACCAAAATTGTAAAAATAGACTGGAAGGAAATTAAAAACAAAAATTCAAAAGGAAAAAATAATAATTTTATATGTATGGAACTATTTGAACAAACTAAGTACATTGTTATGATAAGCAAGGACACCTCTTCCAAAATACTGAAATTCATGGCCCCAGGGACACAATCGACTAAGTTCATTTTCATTGGTCAATTACCGGTATGATACCTTAATAAGGCGCGAGACTTCCACAACAACCAAGTTCATCGTGCCCGATGTTAATTTATACTAGGAAAAAAATATTTTGATATATAAACACTGAAAAATTTGAAAGGCGTCTAATTTTTATTGAACAATTAATTAGTTCACTACAATTTATTTCACTTTCTTTTTCTTCTTTTTTTACTTTTTTAACTGCATATGATTTGCATGGAAAATCGCCCCCCCCCCCCTTTAAAAAAAAACAACAACAGGAAAAAAGGTGCAAAGGCTTCTAAATAATAAGTATTCTAGCTTTATTTTCAAACCAGTAAAACTTAAGATCCTTCCCTCAAAACTGCTGACATTAATTGCCTCGCACACATCTCCCTGGGGGAAAATCACAGATTAACGCTAATTCCGCTTTTATTGAGTTCGCTCTAAAACTAGAATGCGTACCTTTTCTTGGCATGGAAAAAAAGACATCCCCCCTTTTCCGTGCTTCTGTTTGTTTGAATTTCATTTCATTTCCAATGCATCAAATTCATTTGAAATAATATATTTAGACAGAAAATGACTTAATGTTGATTTACTGGCTCGAGTGAAATGCATGAAACCTGCAGAACACCATAATCAGTAGATAAAAGAAACACTCTCTAAAATTATTTATGCACAAATGATTTAAAAATTTAGAAATAAGAAAAAAAAAAAAACGCTCCTAAAAAGAGCAAATCATGACAAGGCCAATGATCTTATACATGTATCTACACAATTTTTCTGACCATGCCAAGAAATCCCGTCCATTTTTCCACAGCGATGGAGTCAATAAAAGTGTAATTGATGCAAATCACCCATATTCCCCTAACGCTGGCGAGACAATTAACGGCAGCAGATTTGAGGGGGTGGATCCTTAGTTTTCCGTTTTCTTAGTCAAAGAAAAATAAACTTCTACCCCAGGAAGTAGCCTCCTATGCCCTGAAAAAAATAGTTCCTGTCAAAAACCTTTATTTATTTACAAAATATGTAAAATGCACTAGACACAGGTACCAAAATTGTAAAAATAGACTGGAAGGAAATTAAAAACAAAAATTCAAAAGGAAAAAATAATAATTTTATATGTATGGAACTATTTGAACAAACTAAGTACATTGTTATGATAAGCAAGGACACCTCTTCCAAAATACTGAAATTCATGGCCCCAGGGACACAATCGACTAAGTTCATTTTCATTGGTCAATTACCGGTATGATACCTTAATAAGGCGCGAGACTTCCACAACAACCAAGTTCATCGTGCCCGATGTTAATTTATACTAGGAAAAAAATATTTTGATATATAAACACTGAAAAATTTGAAAGGCGTCTAATTTTTATTGAACAATTAATTAGTTCACTACAATTTATTTCACTTTCTTTTTCTTCTTTTTTTACTTTTTTAACTGCATATGATTTGCATGGAAAATCGCCCCCCCCCCCTTTAAAAAAAAACAACAACAGGAAAAAAGGTGCAAAGGCTTCTAAATAATAAGTATTCTAGCTTTATTTTCAAACCAGTAAAACTTAAGATCCTTCCCTCAAAACTGCTGACATTAATTGCCTCGCACACATCTCCCTGGGGGAAAATCACAGATTAACGCTAATTCCGCTTTTATTGAGTTCGCTCTAAAACTAGAATGCGTACCTTTTCTTGGCATGGAAAAAAAGACATCCCCCCTTTTCCGTGCTTCTGTTTGTTTGAATTTCATTTCATTTCCAATGCATCAAATTCATTTGAAATAATATATTTAGACAGAAAATGACTTAATGTTGATTTACTGGCTCGAGTGAAATGCATGAAACCTGCAGAACACCATAATCAGTAGATAAAAGAAACACTCTCTAAAATTATTTATGCACAAATGATTTAAAAATTTAGAAATAAGAAAAAAAAAAAAAACGCTCCTAAAAAGAGCAAATCATGACAAGGCCAATGATCTTATACATGTATCTACACAATTTTTCTGACCATGCCAAGAAATCCCGTCCATTTTTCCACAGCGATGGAGTCAATAAAAGTGTAATTGATGCAAATCACCCATATTCCCCTAACGCTGGCGAGACAATTAACGGCAGCAGATTTGAGGGGGTGGATCCTTAGTTTTCCGTTTTCTTAGTCAAAGAAAAATAAACTTCTACCCCAGGAAGTAGCCTCCTATGCCCTGAAAAAAATAGTTCCTGTCAAAAACCTTTATTTATTTACAAAATATGTAAAATGCACTAGACACAGGTACCAAAATTGTAAAAATAGACTGGAAGGAAATTAAAAACAAAAATTCAAAAGGAAAAAATAATAATTTTATATGTATGGAACTATTTGAACAAACTAAGTACATTGTTATGATAAGCAAGGACACCTCTTCCAAAATACTGAAATTCATGGCCCCAGGGACACAATCGACTAAGTTCATTTTCATTGGTCAATTACCGGTATGATACCTTAATAAGGCGCGAGACTTCCACAACAACCAAGTTCATCGTGCCCGATGTTAATTTATACTAGGAAAAAAATATTTTGATATATAAACACTGAAAAATTTGAAAGGCGTCTAATTTTTATTGAACAATTAATTAGTTCACTACAATTTATTTCACTTTCTTTTTCTTCTTTTTTTACTTTTTTAACTGCATATGATTTGCATGGAAAATCGCCCCCCCCCCCCTTTAAAAAAAAACAACAACAGGAAAAAAGGTGCAAAGGCTTCTAAATAATAAGTATTCTAGCTTTATTTTCAAACCAGTAAAACTTAAGATCCTTCCCTCAAAACTGCTGACATTAATTGCCTCGCACACATCTCCCTGGGGGAAAATCACAGATTAACGCTAATTCCGCTTTTATTGAGTTCGCTCTAAAACTAGAATGCGTACCTTTTCTTGGCATGGAAAAAAAGACATCCCCCCTTTTCCGTGCTTCTGTTTGTTTGAATTTCATTTCATTTCCAATGCATCAAATTCATTTGAAATAATATATTTAGACAGAAAATGACTTAATGTTGATTTACTGGCTCGAGTGAAATGCATGAAACCTGCAGAACACCATAATCAGTAGATAAAAGAAACACTCTCTAAAATTATTTATGCACAAATGATTTAAAAATTTAGAAATAAGAAAAAAAAAAAAACGCTCCTAAAAAGAGCAAATCATGACAAGGCCAATGATCTTATACATGTATCTACACAATTTTTCTGACCATGCCAAGAAATCCCGTCCATTTTTCCACAGCGATGGAGTCAATAAAAGTGTAATTGATGCAAATCACCCATATTCCCCTAACGCTGGCGAGACAATTAACGGCAGCAGATTTGAGGGGGTGGATCCTTAGTTTTCCGTTTTCTTAGTCAAAGAAAAATAAACTTCTACCCCAGGAAGTAGCCTCCTATGCCCTGAAAAAAATAGTTCCTGTCAAAAACCTTTATTTATTTACAAAATATGTAAAATGCACTAGACACAGGTACCAAAATTGTAAAAATAGACTGGAAGGAAATTAAAAACAAAAATTCAAAAGGAAAAAATAATAATTTTATATGTATGGAACTATTTGAACAAACTAAGTACATTGTTATGATAAGCAAGGACACCTCTTCCAAAATACTGAAATTCATGGCCCCAGGGACACAATCGACTAAGTTCATTTTCATTGGTCAATTACCGGTATGATACCTTAATAAGGCGCGAGACTTCCACAACAACCAAGTTCATCGTGCCCGATGTTAATTTATACTAGGAAAAAAATATTTTGATATATAAACACTGAAAAATTTGAAAGGCGTCTAATTTTTATTGAACAATTAATTAGTTCACTACAATTTATTTCACTTTCTTTTTCTTCTTTTTTTACTTTTTTAACTGCATATGATTTGCATGGAAAATCGCCCCTCCCCCCCCTTTAAAAAAAAACAACAACAGGAAAAAAGGTGCAAAGGCTTCTAAATAATAAGTATTCTAGCTTTAATTTCAAACCAGTAAAACTTAAGATCCTTCCCTCAAAACTGCTGACATTAATTGCCTCGCACACATCTCCCTGGGGGAAAATCACAGATTAACGCTAATTCCGCTTTTATTGAGTTCGCTCTAAAACTAGAATGCGTACCTTTTCTTGGCATGAATTAGAAAATGCATGTAACACTGTTGCTGGTGCTTTTATTCGCGATTCTTGAAAATACATCTAAGATTTAATGATTTTCCCTTTATAATATGATTCACTTTAATTATGAACTTTGAAGAATTACAATGAGTAAATACACATTAATTCGTTAATTCGGTGCTTTAGGTCTATGTTCGGGGGCATTTTTGTGAGCATTTAGAGGAGGTTCATGAGTTATCGCCCGTTGGTAGACTGACGATCCATCGATGCGGATTGCATCACTTCCGTATTTACACTCTGTTTCAAAACTGAAAACATAGTCTGTCATTGACGTATTATACATTGTATATTTAGCCTCTTATATATTGTTCAGAAGCAACACAATGCAGACTATTGGAAGAATTGACTATCCGGTTGGTAATTATGCAGTTTAAACTTTATTTCATTTGAATATGTCAACATGTATTCACTCAAATAGTATAGCACAGGATTAGGAAACATTTAATTAATACCTTATTAAATATTTATGTTGTCCTTTACAACACAGTTGGGGCCTACTAATCCGTTTCCTAAAATTAGCGTTGAATTACAAATGCATGTTTACCTTTGTTGCAAATATGCTAAATGGAATAGTAAATCAGGTAATAGTTGAAGAACAATGACAGGAAAAACTGCGATAGTAAACATATATATACGATATATGGTAAATGAACAAATAATATAACAGTGTATAACAGCTGTATAAGTTGATAAACTACATATTCACAACACTTGATCACAGTTTCTCATGTCTTTCCGACAATCAGAAAAACAGCCTAGAATGTATAGCAGGCATCTATGACAAAATTACTGGTCATTATGTCAGGGTCTGACGTGCCGAGGAGAGTCTAGTATCTGACATAATGGTCAGTTTGAGGCTATAATGTAACTTGATTGCTTAAAACATTTCACCTGCAATGTTGAACAATTCCATTGTTAAGTTATTGGACAGCTACAGGTAAACTAGTCTCATTCTGCTTATAGATTACCTTATATTTACATTTCCAAATATTTTTACTTAGATATCTTTGCAAATAAGAAAAAGTTCATGTTCTCATGAACTACCAAGGGATGAGTAGGAATATTTCCATTGTGATTTGATTGAAGTAACGGTAAAAAAAATGTGCAAACTTTTTTTTCCAAAAATGATCGTTGAATGACAAAAAAATGTGGCAAGTCATCAGAAAAATAATGTAAATGTGAGAGATGAATTTAATTTTTGAGAATTTATGAGGTACATTGTACATGAACTACAACGCTTCATGCCTACATATCTATCATGAAGCGACAACGCGCTTCATGAAATATGCCAGCTTGAAGCGTCGTAGTTCATGTCCTCATGAATTCTCAAAAATTAAATTCATCTCTTATGTAATGTTCATTAAGTTACATGTAGGCCAAAGAAAATTAGTTTGGGATTTTCCTCTGTACTTTTCAATAGTAGAAATCGTCGAGAGAATTTGTCATTATAATTTAGTTTATTATATGATTAAACAATTCCTATCTCTCTTATTGGCTGAGATCCAACAATGTAGAAAAAATACTACATTATATTCACGTGCACACATGACCTTCCAGGTGAATATAAGGATTTATTTTCTCTACATTGATCTAAAAATAAATCGGGACATTCCCAAATTGATACAAATAGTTGTGGAAAGCTATTTCACTTAATTGCTATTAACTTCCACTCAGGTGAACATAACATTAGAGGATATAAAATTTGTGGTGGGGGTGGTTGGGGAGGGGTGTAGGAGAACCCCCCAACACTTTTTTCTGAACATAAATTTTTAATATTAATTAAGACTAAAAGATATTCATTGAAAAAGCTGGTCCCCTACTAATGGGCCTCAATCCCCCACCCCAACCCCAAAACAAAATTTTAAGTTAAGAGAATTCTGACTTTTCATGGGGGCTAATTAAGGATTTTTTTTACAGCAGTCAGATTTCCATGATAATGCCCCCCCCCCCCCCTTTCAAAATTGATCCTATAAAAGAGCCTAATAATAGAGAGGTTGAGATCTTAAACTTAATGTATGGGTATGTGTAGATAGACTTTGATGTACACATACACATTTTTGTAATTTGTCTGTTGAGATTTTAATGCCATGTAACATGAACGTGTACACTGCGATCAATGTCTCTGTTTAAACTATTTATTCGATTTGTGACATCACTCTGACTTTAGCCAGTAAATAAAAGATAGTTGAAATAAGTGCTTGTGAAAGTAAACGTTCTAAGTAATGTACAACAGTTACGTTTTCACACATAAATTGACTAATTTTTATTATAAAAGCTACAAGTTTACACAGTTGTAGGAACATGTAGACAACTTTTCATCACTAAAACCAATGACATAATACTCGAGGAATTTAGGGAATTCCCCTACTAGACATACCCGTACATGTATGAAATCTCAACCTCTCTATTATTTCTTTTTTTTCATAGCAACTAAAGTAAATGTACTGTAACGGTGTCTTATTATAAATCTTGAGCATGGAAATATAAATAAGTCCGTTTCAGGGTTCTACTGACATCTCCATTTATTACATTCACAGATGAACACATAGAATAGTTGGAATAATGGAACAATGAAGGAATTTGGAATAATGCCCTGAAAAATCATAATAACAAATAATAAATACATAGCATAAAATATTCTGATATATCCGTATCAATATAGTAATTACAATCTGCAGTTAACAGATACACTGCATAAAGGGAGGTAACTCTGTACATGATTTACATACAATCAATGCTCCCTTTTAATATTACGCTTTGAAAAATATAAAAACATTAATATCATAAATATCATACCAATCTATGGGACTGAGCCTCTCCCATTCATTGTAGTCACAATATGGCTCACTGTACACGTATGTCCAGATCATAAAACTACAAATTATCATAGTTTACATAAGTAAACCTATCATAAAAACATCTAGTAGATATATATAAAATAAAAAATACTTTCAATAAAATAGTTACTCCTTAAATACTGACTCTCAAATCAGATTCTGACTGTGCTAGTGCTATGGAATTAACTTTGGCAAAATTACAGATTTTACAGTTAAATCAAATATTAGAAATCATATTAGAATTAGTATATAAATGTTATCTTACCTTAAGAGAGAAAAGTATTGTCTCTGTCAATGTCAGAAGGTCGTAATTATAAAACTTCGTAAATACAACCCTCTCTGGACAAATACTGGACAAAGAATGACCATAACAAACAACTTTTTGGAGGGAAAAATACTGAACCAATAAAACACAACCTTACAAAGTCCAAACCAATGAAAACAGTGAATACTTCAAACCAAAGACCAAAGACCAGAACCTTCATAACCCAAGGCAATAATAATTAAGTACAGGTACTGCCTGTTCTACTTGGGTGACCTTTAAAGATTTAATAATGCATTTATATTTACAATTTAAAAACATATGAAATACATTATAGATTTATTAAATAAATTAATAAATCTAATACTGTAACACACTTCCCCTCCTTTTTAAATGACTTCCACGTCATTCAAATGGAGACTTACCACTTATCTGGTACTCTGGCATAATCAGGAAAATCTGAAATTAAAACAAAATTTATACAATTAAAACATTATAACTTTTCAGTAATCATTTTTAAAAATGCTTTTGACATATCTCTGTCCATTTTTGTTAGCTGTGATGCCATATTCTGAAAGTATATCAATTTCTCTTTCCACTCAGGCTGTTGTCGTATCTGTTGACAACATACATAATTCTTCATCCATGCTGGCTTCTTTTTAGCTCGTCCTGATCTCCTCGGTAACTCATCTGTCTCAATATCATCAGGACTGTCATCCTCATCAGCATGGATATCATCAACATGGTCATCATGAACATCATCTTCATGGCCATCATAAGCATCTTGGTTGTCATCTTCTTGCAGATTACTTCCATCATCATCAAGATTGTCTTCATCAATATCATCCACCATTCCACTAGCATCTGGCTCATCAGATGCTACACTATCCGCTTCCCCTGGCTCATCAATGGTTTCAGCAATTACCTGGTCGTCACCAGTTACAATGTTCAAACCTACTGCCTCCTCAGACAATGCCTTAGACTTTACAGGGTACTCCACTGTAAGACACAGATCATCTTCATCATCATCAGATTCCATCTGATGGAGGATGGCAGGCTCCTGACCTCTCTTACACTCTTCTCCATTTTTCCTCTGTCTTGCCCTAGGAACTGGAATGGGTGTCTTGGCTGATCCAAATGGTAATAAAAGATTTCTGTGGAGAATTCTTAACTTACCTTGGTTATCTTCTCTTTTGACTTTGTAAACCGGTATTGATGAATTGGGCTGACTTATGATGATGTATGGCTTATCTTCCCACTTGTCTTGAATTTTATGCTTCCCGTCGAAACTTACAACTTTGACTAATACACGGTCTCCTTCTTTCAAAATGACTCCTCTAACCTTAGTGTCATAATGCCATTTTTGTTTTAGCTGGGAATTCTTAGTTGCTGTTTCAGCCTTCTGGTATGCATCTTGTAGATTCCTCTGTAGTTTTTCTAAGTAAGTTGATGTTGAACTTGATTGAGAATTCCTTTCTATTCCAAAGACTAAGTCAACCGGCAAATTTGGTTCTCGGCCGAACATCAAAAAATAAGGAGAAAAACCAGTTGTATCATGTGTTGTACAGTTGTATGCATGGACCAATGGGTTGATGTAATTTTTCCAGTTATGTTTCTGTTCAGGATCCAAAGTGCCTAACATGGAAATAAGTGTTCTGTTAAACCTTTCTGTGACACCGTTGCCCATTGGGTGGTATGGTGTTGTACGGGATTTGGCAATTCCAGTCAGTTGACATAAATCTTTGATGATATTACTACAGAAATTAGCTCCTTGGTCTGAGTGCAATTTTTGAGGTAATCCATAGTGCACTATAAAATGGTTGAAAATGGCATCTGCTGTGGTACGGGCAGTCTGGTTCTTTGTTGGTACTGCTACAGCATACTTGGTAAAGTGGTCTGTAATCACCAAGATATTTTGGATATTACCTTTCGATGGTTCCAAGGTTAAATAATCCATACAAACCAATTCTAAGGGTTGAGTTGTTTTGATGTTAACTAACTCTGCTCTCTGGTTGTTAGGAGTCTTAAACTTGATACACCTGTCACACTGTTCTATCCAATTGCTGACATCAATATACATCTTGGGCCAATAAAATCTCTCTCTTATTAAAGCTATGGTCTTTTCTCTTCCGGGATGACCCATGTCATTGTGCAGATATTGTAGTATAAGATGACTGAATGAATTGGGAATGATGAACTGATGATGAATAATCCCATCAATTTTGGTTTCTCTCACAAGCAAATCATCTTTCAACTTTAACCTCTTGAAATTTCGATGAAGAATAGCCTCTGTTTCATTCTTTGCTGTATTCTTGGGAGGTTTTCTTCCTGCTCTTATGTATTCAATCATCATTGAAATGGTGTCATCATTCCTCTGTATTTCTTTTATATCAATATGGCTACTGTCTTTGTCTTGTGATTGTTGTACTAACTGGCATACAGAATGAGGCAAGGAAACTGGAAGGGTCTCGATATATGGTTGTTGATGTTCTGAATTAATAATGGCACTAATAGCTTCTTTATCCATAGTTTCTGTTCTTTCAGGTAATCTTGATAAAATGTCTGCATCAGTATTGGATTTTCCAGGTTTGTACGTAATGCTGAAATTGTATGAAGATAAAGCAGCTATCCATCTATGGCCAGTTGCATCTAATTTGGCTGTTGTTAAAACATATGTCAAGGGGTTGTTGTCAGTGAAGACAGAGAAAGTTTGTCCTGTGAGGTAATCAGAAAACTTCTCTGTAATAGCCCATTTTAATGCTAGAAATTCCAATTTATGGGTTGGGTAATTTCTTTCTGATTTACTAAGTCCCCTACTGGCATATGCTATGACCCTTTTAACTCCATCTTGTTCTTGATACAGAACCGCTCCTAAGCCACTTTGACATGCATCGGTATGTAATTCAAATGGACTGTTGAAATTGGGATAACCAAGTACAGGAGCTGATGTTAGCTTTTCCTTAAGTGCATTAAATGCTGATTCCTGGGATGGTCCCCATGTCCATGTTGGTGGAAGCGGTTTCTTTTTTCCTCTTGGTTTCTTTCCTGTAGCCATGATATCGATCAAAGGTCGAGCAATCTTGGAGAAATTCTGAATGAATTTTCTGTAATATCCAGCGAATCCTAAAAATTGTCGTACGTCTTCTGGATTTTTCAGAATAGGCCAGTTTTTGACTTTAATAACTTTGTCAGGGTCCGCCTGTACCCCATTTTCAGACACAATGTGTCCTATATACTTCACCCTTTTCATGAAGAAAGAACATTTCTTTGGGGATAACTTCAACCCAAACTTCCGGAACCTTTCAAAAACTTCTTTGAGGCGGTGAAGATGTTCCTCAATAGACCTAGAAAAAACAATGACATCATCTAAATATATAAAACAAATTTGCATATGGAGATCTCCTAAACATTGTTCCTGTAATCTTTGATAGGTAGCTGGAGCGTTAGCTAATCCGAAAGGCATTTTATTAAATTCAAAGAATCCCAATGGTCCGACTGTAAATGCTGTTCTTTGTTTATGTTCTTCAAGAATTTCTATTTGGTGATAGCCGGACTTCATATCTAAAACAGTGAAGTAGCGATTACCGGCAAGCGAGTCCAAAATTTCATCTATTCTCGGCAATGCATAATTATCTCTCACTGTTTTGGAATTCAATTGCCTATAATCCACACACATCCTCAAAGAGCCATCTGGTTTCTTCACTAAAACAACATTGGAAGAAAATGGAGAGTGAGATGGTCTAATTACTCCACTGGCTAGTAGCTCTTGTATGTGGTTTCGGACTTCTCCAATCATAGCTGGTGGTATGCGCCTGTATTTCTGTTTGAAAGGTGTAGTGTCTGACAACTCTATGTGATGATACACTTTGTCTGTAGTACCAATATCAGTTGAACTTGTTGAAAAGATGTCTTGGAATTCTGAAATAAGTCCTTTACATCTTTCTTTCTCCTGTTCTGACAGAGTCTCTGAAATGAGGACCTTCTCAAAGATGTTCTCTAATACTGTTGGTAATGTATTAGGATGAGAGGTTTCTGCAATGGTAACAGGCTGCATCTCACAAAGAAGTGCTCCTGGTGCTATCGACACTGTCCGAGTTGTCACATTACTTACTTCTACAGGTGTTAAATTGTCATCCTGACAGTTGTAGTAGTGCAAGGTAGGAGTTATATCTAAGTCTGATGGGATGCTAGATTTGAAAGTTGGCTGCAACATGGCTAGTACCTTCTGGTATGGAACTTTCTTGTCGAGGTATGCGTTGACAACAACTTTTCCGTTAGGTGGAATCAGGATTCTTGATTTCTCTGCTGACTTCAAAACAGCAAGTCTATTCCTGTTCCTTTCTAGTTGTTTTTGTCGAAGAGCAATACATCTGAAAGCCAGATACCATGGTGCATGCATATCAGCATCCTGAAGAAATCTAGAACCATACTCTGTTCTGGTAATGTCCATCAGACGACTTAAGATATTTGTTCCAATCAAAACAGGTACATTAGCATTATACTTGCTATCAGGAACAACTAAAAAGATACATTCCTTCAGAACTTCCAATGAAGAGAGTCCATGAGTGGCTAAATCTGCAATGACATATCCCAAATAAGGCATCATCTGCCCATCAGCACATTCAATGTCAAGTTGTTCCTCTAATGGATAAAGTGCTGTTCCATCTCGCAGATGTGTCTCAAAAAATGTTTGCGATATTGTGGAGACAGTAGCTCCAGTGTCCAATAATGCAGAACATGGAACTCCATTAATAGCCACTTGAACCTCATTTGATGTTCCTACTAATTCTTCCGATAAGTTGTTGGGACTGTTTCTTCTTCTGCCAGACCCTTGTCCCCAGGATTTGGCCATCTGTAGTTTAAAGATTTCTGATGATCAATTCTGACTCTGCAACCAATAGCTATATGTCCTTCTTGACCACATCTGTAACATACGACTTTATCAGATCTCCGATCCTGTTGCTGATTAGTCTTCTTAAAAGTAGTAAATCTGGGCTCAGGCATCCTAGGAGTGTAGCCTCTACTAGGATACTGTCCTCTTCTTCCTCTTTGAAAAGGCTGTCTGTTTCTGTTGTTATACGAACTATAGTTGGGTGGTTTATAATAAGGCTGCTGCTGCATTGCCTTCAGCTGGTTTATCTGAGCTTGCAAAGCTTCATATTTGTCGTCATCAACTGCAGTTTTTTCTGAGGAGATCCCTGATTTTACTATGGCTGGCTTTACTTTTGTTAATTTGGTCTGCCCTGGATGTTCTGTCTCGATCTTTCTCACTTCTACTCTTAATTTGTCAAAATCCTTAATTGAGTGAAATAAGTATCCAGAAATATCTTTTAAGTCTTGTCGCAGACCTTTATAAAACATTGTACGTAACATTTCATTTGCCGCATAGTTCTGGACCTTCCCCAACTTCATGGCAGTGTTCAGAATTTCCTCTAACCTGCAGCTCCAAGCTGAACAGGTCTCATCTTCCCGCTGTTTAGCACTGTAAAATTCGGCTAAAATGTCTTCTTTTTCCAGAACATTTCCATAAATGCTGTCTAACTTGGAAAGAATTTCTTCTACAGTGGCACCAACTCCTAATCTCATCACAACTTTGGCTGCCTCTCCTTTCACAGATCTCCTAATGGCTTGTAATAAGGATTCTTCTGAATGAGCTTCCCTTATAAGACAGGTAACTTCATACTTCCACAGGTCATAGGAAGTTTCACCTTTTCCATCACCTGAGAACATGGATATCCGTAAAGGAGATTTCAGATAAACATCTTTAGAAGATGATGATGCTGCAGCGACTGGTTCTTTGGATTTGGTCTCTGCAATAGAATGACTGGCTGCCCAAGTTACAAAACTTTCTGGATTGATCTTCATCTTCTGCAATGCCATCCAGAACTGTTTCATGTCTTCCTCTGACATTGTACTTTCTGCTGCCTCGGCTTTATGTCCTTTAGGTTCCATTTTAAATTCTGTCGTAATTGCTGGCTTCTCTTTGGGCCTAGCATCTAAAGGTTTCTCTGTTTTTGTTTCAGTTGTAGTCTCTGATTTGTCTGCTGTCTTAGCTTTTGCTTCGGACATGGTTGTATATACAGATCAATGGCAATAAAATATTATGTACAAATAAAATAATATACAATGCAATTTTCAGGAGGGTAGTTCTAACTGAACTATAAAGAACACAGGGCAATTTTAATGTAATGAATTTAAAAGAGGGAGTTCATAACTGAACTACTGAAAAGGGATTTTTTTTTAAGTAATGTATTTAAACAGGAGGGTAGCTCAATGCGCGAGCTAATTGCAAAGGGTAAGGTTATATGTACTTAACAAAAGTGAAAGTAGAATTGCACTTCCGGTATGAAGTTGCACTTCCGGTACTGCAGTTAAAGTTTAAAGGCAAAATTCGAAGTACAATATTTCTTATGATACCCAATGTGTAACTACTACACTAATCTACATAATTACGAATGCTGTATGTCGATAATGATGATCTCTAAATAATGTTGTATAATCACTAAAAAAAATAATCTGCTGAAATATAAACAGTTGTAGAACGCTCTGTATCGAATATAAATGTCAAAATCAGCTGGTAACAAATTCAATGAACAAGAACTGAAAATAAACTGCGTTTACGATCCAAAAATCTCCTGAAAAAGAATAAGGGTATCAGACTATCTATACTGTACCTGGTATTCAAAGTTAATAAGAAATAAACAACAAACACTGAAGATATAAAACAAATAAATCAAATTTTAACTTTTTGTTTACAAAATCACGTTTTCTAAAGTCGTTTCCGGTTAAAACAGATTTAGCGGATATCGAGCTCGATCGAAATTACGCAATCGGAAAAGTAGGCAGTGCTATAGAAAATAAACCGAACCCGATGATAAATAAATCAATACTTTAAGGGAAGTTTGGAGAAGATGACAGACAAAACGCTATACCATTATTCTAAAAAAATATGAACTTAATGTAAAACAACTTTTCACTGTATCAACACCCACTGCACACTGGATCAGACGACAGACTCAAAAATGAATAGGCTACACTTCAAAATACCATACTTGAGCACTAAATAAACTACTTGACCAACTGCAACAAATTAATTATCTGTCAAAGTGTCAAGATGTCTTTGTCAAAAGGGATAGATATTATTTACTACATTATTGTAAGTTCTGATTTAGTAAATCAAGGGTATCTGGGTACTTGGATGGTGCGCAATGTGCGATACCTCACTTACCCATACGTCTTCCTCTCCGGTACTTCAATTCTTCAAATAATATAACTTATATGTGGGTACCCAATAAAATAGCTAAACTATAGTAAACCTATATACACTTTGACAAATTGTTGATCAACACTATAACAGTACTGGCCAGCTATTAAAATAATATGATCTACCTCTAGTTAAACTAGAATATATACATGTATTGCTAGTTGCTTGAAAGCACTGTAAATTATCTGTTCAAAAACTCACCGATCAGCTGATACTCCAATGTCACATAGCAAAAATATACAACAATCACAAAAAATGATACTACTCACACAAGACATTAAGCTCACAGTTTGTCACAGTAATCACCGGCAATATATGTCCAAGTCAATGGGTTGGCCAATATAGTGGTAGAATTCACACGCACAGCTGTGTCTATTCAGGTGTAACAGATCACTGATGATCTAACTGGTCAACGGGAAAGTCGAACACTCTTAGGAATGTGTCATCTGAAATGATGTTCAATCAGGAGAGGTCCCAACGTGGGCGCCATTTTGTAACGGTGTCTTATTATAAATCTTGAGCATGGAAATATAAATAAGTCCGTTTCAGGGTTCTACTGACATCTCCATTTATTACATTCACAGATGAACACATAGAATAGTTGGAATAATGGAACAATGAAGGAATTTGGAATAATGCCCTGAAAAATCATAATAACAAATAATAAATACATAGCATAAAATATTCTGATATATCCGTATCAATATAGTAATTACAATCTGCAGTTAACAGATACACTGCATAAAGGGAGGTAACTCTGTACATGATTTACATACAATCAATGCTCCCTTTTAATATTACGCTTTGAAAAATATAAAAACATTAATATCATAAATATCATACCAATCTATGGGACTGAGCCTCTCCCATTCATTGTAGTCACAATATGGCTCACTGTACACGTATGTCCAGATCATAAAACTACAAATTATCATAGTTTACATAAGTAAACCTATCATAAAAACATCTAGTAGATATATATAAAATAAAAAATACTTTCAATAAAATAGTTACTCCTTAAATACTGACTCTCAAATCAGATTCTGACTGTGCTAGTGCTATGGAATTAACTTTGGCAAAATTACAGATTTTACAGTTAAATCAAATATTAGAAATCATATTAGAATTAGTATATAAATGTTATCTTACCTTAAGAGAGAAAAGTATTGTCTCTGTCAATGTCAGAAGGTCGTAATTATAAAACTTCGTAAATACAACCCTCTCTGGACAAATACTGGACAAAGAATGACCATAACAAACAACTTTTTGGAGGGAAAAATACTGAACCAATAAAACACAACCTTACAAAGTCCAAACCAATGAAAACAGTGAATACTTCAAACCAAAGACCAAAGACCAGAACCTTCATAACCCAAGGCAATAATAATTAAGTACAGGTACTGCCTGTTCTACTTGGGTGACCTTTAAAGATTTAATAATGCATTTATATTTACAATTTAAAAACATATGAAATACATTATAGATTTATTAAATAAATTAATAAATCTAATACTGTAACAGTACCGGTAGATTAAAAAATTCAAAATTATTATGACTGGTTATGTTTATTTAACCCAGCTTCTCTTATTGCTTTTGGCTAGGACTTCAGCAGATGTAAACAAGTAAGATGGCATGAATTGCTAAATGAGTTTGTATCATTTAATCATTGAATCATAAGATAAAACAATTATATTGCTGTTTTTTCAGTCAATATATGATGATTTACATGTAGCCACCTTCGAAGTACAATTTTCACCTCGCCCTTCGGGCTTGGTGAATATTGTACTCCTCAGGTGGCTAAATCATTGTAATGACCTCAAAAACAGCAATAATTGTATAATATCCAACTATCCTGATCTCACTGTAATCTATAGATTCAAATCTGTTCAAATCTGACCTCCCAGAACTTAAATTAGAACTTTTCAATAAGAGCAGACCTCAATTGTTACATGTGTAAAATTTTAAATATGCAAACATCATGGATCCCTTATTTGATATTTTTATTTTTAGGTTATACCCTTTGAAGGGGATATTCCTGGTGGGTTACAACCAGGAAAACAGATCTTTGTTCAAGGAGATTTTTCACAAATTCCAGGGAGTGATTATAGGTGAGAGAAATGACAGCTAAATTTTGATTACCAGCAGCAAACAGCTTAAATGGAATGGAAGATCATTGTAGGGAATTTTGTCTTTTGACATTTTGTCAGTATTGTTCACATTGAACTTCACAAGAAAAAGTTACTTGTATCATATTTGGGCAAGAAGAAGACTAGAAGGTGACAAAGGTCAAGGTTATCTTATTATTATAAAAAATTGGTTTCATCAAATCAAAGCTTATAAGATAATGGAGCACAAAGGAATTTGACTTAATTAATAAGATTTTAAGATTAATATCGCAGACATCTGACATTATTTTTTCCCCTTTAGGTGGCGGTGCTTGGGGATATATTTTTTAGCTCACCTTGACGAAGTCGAGATGAGCTTATGCTATACCCACGGTGTCGGTGTCAGCGTTAGCTTCGGCGTCCCGGTTAAAGTTTTAGGAGCAAGTCCATTCCCAAGTAACTATAAGCCCTACCTGGACCAAACTTGCATGGATGATGCATCTAGGGATGGACACTACCACACTTGCTTCGGATGCTGGATCTGACCTAGATTTTCCAGTTGAGTGACCAGGTTGAAGTTTTTGGAGCAGGTCCATTCCCAAGTAACTATTAGCCCTACCTGGACCACACTTGCATGGATAAATGCATCTAGGGATGGACACTACCACACTTGCTTCGGATGCTGGATCTGACCTAGAATTTCCAGATGAGTGACCAGGTTAAAGTTTTTGGAGCAGGTCCATTCCCAAGTAACTATTGGCCCAACCTGGACCAAACTTGCATGGATAAATGCATCTAGGGATGGACACTACCACACTTGCTTCGGATGCTGGATCTGACCTAGAATTTCCAGATGAGTGACCAGGTTAAAGTTTTTGGAGCAGGTCCATTCCCAAGTAACTATTGGCCCTACCTTGACCAAACTTGCATGAATGATGGATCTAGGGATGGACACTACCACACTTGCTTCGGATGCTGAATCTGACCTAGATTTTCCAGGTGAGTGACCAGGTTAAAGTTTTTGGAGCAGGTCCATTCCCAAGTAACTATTGGCCCTACCTGGACCAAACTTGCATGGATGGTGCATCTAGGGATAGACATTACCACACTTGCTTCGGATGCTGGATCTGATTTTACAGTTGAGTGACCGGGTTAAAGTTTTTGGAGCAGGTCCATCATTATCAAGTAAATATAAGCCCTACCTGGACCAAACTTGCATGGATGATGCATCTAGGGATGGACACTACCACACTTTGTTTGGGTGCTGGATTTGACCTAGATTTTCCAGATGAGTGACCAGGTTAAAGTTTTTGGAGCAGGTCCATACCCAAGTAACTATTGGCCCTACCTGGACCAAACTTGCATGGATGATGCATCTAGGAATGGACACACTACCACACTTGCTTCGGATGCTGGATGTGACCTAGATTTTCCATATGAGTGAATTTTAGCCATATTTTAACCAAATTAGCAAGGATGATGTAGCTAGGGATGGTCATTTCCAGACTTGCTTTGGATTCTGAATCTGACCTATATTTTCCAGATGAGTGACCAGGATAATTTTTTTGGAGTAGCTATATAACATTATGGCCTGTTATGATTAAACTTGCATAGATGGTGCATCTTAGGATGAAAACTTCCAGACTTACTTTGGATGTTGGAACTGACCAAAAGTTTCTTGATTAGTAAACAGGATAAACGTTTCTTGAACAGGTCTATTTCCAAGTAACTATAAGTCATACTTAAACCAAACTTGCATGGACATTGATCTTGGTATGTACACTAAATTAAAAAAAATATGACGTGAAAGAAGAAGGTACGGTTTTAGCTTTATTGTGCCCTAAAAATTTTATGTTTTCAAAAAAGTTTTTTTTTAAATATTAGTTGAGTATATGACTGTAATAAATCAGGAAAGAATATGGCATGAAGGAGTACCATTCTGGAAATATGACATCATAAATTTGATGCATTTCTCTATTTTAAACAGAAAAAGCCTCAAAATGACATATTTCAAGGGTTAGTTTCCTGAAGAAAATAGTGTCCACATCCGTTGCCCACTTTAATTTTCAGACATACTATGTAAAATTCTTTGAAAAATCACATTTTTCAAAATCTCTGTGGGCGGTGCCGTAGACAATGTTATCTGAAAGAAAATTCTATTGAATATTGGTGTCTTCTGCAACTTTTTAAGAAAATACAGGAAAATGCACAAGTTTATGACGTCACAATTAGCATTTGAAAGGTCCTGTGAGAAAAATTATTTGTATGGTCTTTCTGCATGGAATTTCATTGATTCAGAAAGCATGAGTTTTAATTTTTAACATCACTTTCATTTTTAAGAGAAATACAGGGCAAGATTTGTATTGAAACTGTACCTTGTTCTTTGCCTTACTTAAAGATAACATTCGTCGAGGTGAGCTTCGTAATCTTTGATTACCTATTTTTAACAGGGAATTATTTAATCTTAGACTAATTATAAATCCTGGATTTTCTAGTGCCTGAAAACTAACTTAGTTTTGCTTGAAATTATCAGTTTTCACTGTAGTAGATACTGTCTAAATGGGTAAGTGTGTATATAAGAAGCTAATATATATTTTCTACAGCTACAACAGTAGAACACCAGATACACTGCATTAAAGACATTTACCCTAGAAATAATAATTATGACTGAAAATAAACAATAAAAATATGAAATTGGAACACAATAAAAACATCAATGAATAAAAAATAAACAATAATTCAATTATATATATTAGCTTCTTATATACACACTTACCCATTTAGACAGTATCTACTACAGTGAAAACTGATAATTTTAAGCAAAACTAAGTTAGTTTTCAGGCACTACACATGATTTCAGAATTTTCTGAAAATCCAGGATTTATAATTAGTCTAAGATTAAATAATACCCTGTTTTTTTTTTATTGTAAGAAAAATTAATAACTTCAGGTGTATGCATGGTAATTATGTCCATAAAATTTAATCAGAATAGTGTTTTCATATGGGTGTGAAAAATCAAATAGGTTAAAGGTACCACACATTTACATGTGTATGAAAGATTAAGGGGTACATAATATAACATAATTAAAAGATTTAGAAGCTCAAATGTGTTAACTATATATACAGGGCTTTCAATAAGGGGAAGCAAGAGGCAATTTTACACCCTCTCTATGATTGGAATGCATTCCTTCATATTTCATATTTGGCAAAATAAACTATTGGAAATAATTCTAAAACAGCTTCTTCAAATGGATAAATTCACCTCTTTACTTTAAAATTGTTGAAAGCTCTGTCTATTATATATACTAATTTATTCTCTTTGAATCAAATATTCATTTTTGTGGGGGGGGGGGGGGGGGGGGGAGTAGTAACATCATAGTCTAATCCACACTTAGCTTAAGTTTTGTCCATTTGTGAGCTCAACCAAAAGCTCAAATGGGAAAGAAACAATCATAAATGATTTTCTTCTCTTTTCAGCTGAACACATTTGAGTGTGCTTTGATAAATCCACAGTGTTTTATTTTTTTCTTTCAATGTATGGGTAGATCTATCCTGTGGCAATCAAAATACAAGATGGATCAATGCAAAGATTTTTTCTGACAAATAACAAAGCTGTGAGGTTTCTATGGGTTATTCCCCAAAGATGGCAGCCAAGGGACATAACTTTGGAAAAGTGTGGATTCAACAATGTCATTTACTTTATGTACAAAAATTAAAAAGAACACAATTTTCATATGGAACTAAATTGTTTGTTAATCCATATATACACAGATTTAGTATATTAGATTTTAAATTTCCATTTTGTTTGTCTTCAGTTTTGGCATTAATTTCAAATGTGGGAGAGGACAAGGGACAGACATTGCTTTTCACTTCAACCCGAGGGTCAGCCAGAAATGTGTGGTGCGCAACACATTAAGAAACGGAGCTTGGGAGCAAGAGGAAAGAGGTGGTCCAATGCCATTTGGTGTTGGTCAACAGTTTGAAATTATTTTTGCTGTGGACCAATATCAGTTCAAGGTGTATATGTAGTAGAAATTCAACTTAAGAGGTAGTGAAAGCGAGGTCTTTAAAAATTTGTCTGATATAGACCCTGAAGTTTTCACATTTCAGTAATTTTTTGAGATGCACTAACTACCATGAATAAATTGATATCCTTGGAACAAAGTACATATATTAAGTAATTTGTATTTTTTAAGTATTTTATCCTGGATATCTCAAACCCTCAGATATCTCAAAGTTTTTTCTCAGTTGAAAGTAGTGTTTATATATCTAAAGAGATTAATTTTCATTATGACAAAATCTATAGACTCGCTTAGCATCAGTTGCAAGAATGGTGAATGTGCTGCATGTTATTCTGAGTGTAACCCCCCAAAACAATATAGATAAAACTGTTCAGCTTCAGTTTAAAACAATGGATATATTGTAAAATAGACATAGCTCACATTACTGTGTGAAGAAAAGCAAGATACTAGATAAGCCAAAATAATTTATTAATAATTTAAAGTGAGTAAAATTAACTTGTTTTCAGAATGCCCTAAACCGATTTTTTATTTAGGGAAATTGTCCAAGACACAGAAAAGAATAACATACTCTAAAAATAGATTGTAGAAATGGAATTTATCAATAATGCCGTGACATATAAGTCTGACATGGAAACATATTTATTTCCTCACAACCAAAAATATAAATTCTGTCAGAGAAACTATAGATATGAGAAATCGAAATAAATTTTTATGCTACTTTTAGTCTCCAAGGATTTTATCAGGGATCCCAAGAAAGGGGTGGGGAATTTGAAATTATGATTTTTTTTTAAATTTTAAGGAAATAATTCTTCATACAATTTTTTATCTATATGTTCCATATTCAAGGAAGTTTTGTTGTTGGTTTTTCTAATTTTGAATTTCCCTTTTTGGCTCTTAAATTCTAGTAATTGTTGTTTATCACACTATAAATAATTACAGCAATGTGTTCCATATTTATATTTATTTAAAAAGTTGTGATACTTTTAACTAAATTCTTCCTTGTGAGATACATGTACTTACCAACTGAAGGTATAAAAACACAGTGACTGTCGCATATTGCTGTGACGTTCTTTCTTTCTGAAACTCGTGCATTTCAGATCTGTCATTAGGATTGCTGTCGTTACATAACTTAATTGTGTTTTATTTTTTGGTTGATGTTTGAACAAGGAATTTTTAAATAAATATTTTGCCATATAGAGAAATTACAAGCTGTTCTGCGGAAGTAATTATTAGGTAAAATTCTGTGGACTAAAGTATCTTATAATTATTATGGAAATTATGAATGGGAAAAATAAACTAATTGAGCTAATTTTGCTATTGATTAAATATTGTAAATTTAAACCTCCAAAATGAAACTAACTTTATTTATTGAATTTGCAGGTGGCAGTGAATGGTCAACATTTTACGGAGTTCCGTCACCGCATTCCAGTAGAACGAATCAACACATTACAGATATCAGGTGCCGTAAGCATCAAGGTCATTAGATTCGACTCTCCTTACACGGGTCCACCAACTGTACCTTTCCCATCACCGCAGAACATAGGCTTTGGTATCGCACCACCTGCAGGATTCATGCCACCACCTTATACTGCAGGATGTGTACCCCAGCCACAATGCTGGGGCTGTACACCACCACAGCCCCCGAGCTCAGGGAACTCTCCAGTCTCCTACCCCCCAGCCTACCCCTCACAGCCTCAGGATCCTATATACAACCCAGTATGTGTTATAATTGTCATATAGAGTCACTGGTTAAAGCATAATCTATATGCATGTATGTACATGTTTATAAACTCAGTATGACGATACGTGTTATAATTGTCATATAGAGTCACTGGTTAAAGCATATCCATGTGTATGTGTGTATGTATATTATGAATCATAAATAAATTATAATTTTAATGTACATGTATATTCTTTAAAGTATTTTTAGACCTTTGGTTATCTTAAACTTTGTTGATTCTATTCATATCTGTTACCAATTGAGTATTATTTTAGATCATTGTAGAACTTAGTTTAAGTTATTTCTTCCTTACCCGGGTATTCCTATTTCATGAAAATTCATCAAATGACTGATTTATTGGAACAAATGTCACTCTGCCATGAAAATCGTATTGCGCATGCTTTTTCTTAACTTTGCTTTCTTGTGCAATTTGTAAATTGTACAATTTTTCTTAACAGATTGCTCTGAAATGATTAAAATCTCTAAAATATTCAAATACTCTCTTATATTCCAAATATTCTATCCAACTTGCTTAGTGCACTGTGAGCTATATTGCATGGGATTTGCATCATCCTGCGGGGTGCATATCAATCCATAGACTTCAAATCTGCATTTTTTTATGATTAGGAGGTTAGGGCATGTATATATTAACCTCCCTCAAACAGATTTGCAATGTCTTTTTATGACTCATTTTTGTATTTTTACAGGCGATTCCTTTCATGGGCTACATCCCTCCATCTGGTATGACACCGGGCAAACTTATCCACATAACAGGGGTTACTGGACCAAACAGGTGGGCACTATAGACACTCACTGCAGTCAATGACCTGCAAATTCAGTGTAGCTGGTCAATGAATATGATGGTTAAAGGGAATTTTTGCATATTTTCACATAAAATCATAGATATTTTGTCAATTTTAAAATATTTTAAGTATGAATAATCTGGGGAGGCATAAGTATGTTTTTTTTTTAATTTTATTTATAAAAAAAAGAGGAAATTTGAATTTATTGCAACAGTTTTTAATTAGTGTCTTTGAAGATCGATCTTAGCACACTTGACTAATGCACGGAAAAAACAGGGATTAGTCCATTCACAGCAATTTCTAGGGAATTATTAACATCAAATGATCTAATTTTATATAGGGAAAAAATCAGGATAGGTATAATAATAAAATCTAATTGAACGACTGGGTCAGTATAAATAGTAAGACAAATTATTTCATTGAGAGTATAGATTCAAGTTTTCCAAATCATGACCAAAGGGCTTGGTTGGGGCCACAATAAGGGATAACACTTTATCATAGCTATAATATAACGGATAATCTCTAAAACAGCAGGGCCACAGTCTTATTGACATGCGTCCATCCCAATGATGTGCAGATTCAATTTTATTCAGTTATGACCCCTTTTGGTGTGGTTAGGCCAAGGTATATAAATATTGTGTTTCCTATTCTAACCCAAGAAAAAATAGGTAAGTATGGAAAACATTTTATTTTAATATTTTAACATTTTATTTGTTAAAATTCAACTTTGACACTAAACAAAATGAGGAAAACAAAGAGTTCATTTCTTTTTCCCAAAAGGGTGGCTTACTAATGGCATTTCTGTTTAATATGTATAGGATATGCATTTTCTCAAACATGGAAGTGATCTAGATCCAGATTCCAGTTCCCTTTGACCAGGACTATTTCCCTCGGCTTCACCTCGGGAAATAGTCCTGCAGGCCTTGGGGAACTGGAATCTTGCTAACTCCCTCAATGATATACTTTAACTGTATAATAACCCCCCCCCCCCCATTAGCATGAATTTATACATTTCGATATATTTGTTTGTTTGTCTTTCTGTTCAGGTTTTCAGTAAATATCCAGGATAATGCTGGGGGAAGCTGTGATATTGCCTTCCATTTTGATGTGAGGATTAATCTTGGAAATCAAGTGAATGAAATTGTACGCAACAGTAAAACAAACGACCAGTGGGGACCTGAGGAGACACAGAAGCCTTACTTTCCATTCCAACCAAATACCAACTTTGACATGATGATCCTGTGTGAGCCACAGTGCTTCAAGGTACGTCATAACAAAATATAATACGCTTTCTGTTCTCATTTTTGTAATGCTGCAGACCTGTGCCATGCTTGGTCTTTCATTCCAATTTTTTTTTAACCTATGACGATCTGCAGCTAATATTTGCAGGATTCATATTTATTCATATCACCTTTGATGCAGTCATCAGTATGTTAATTTACAGTGTATTAACATCTCATTTACTGTGTAGAGGTGAAATAAGTAGATTGAGGTGTTGCTTTTTACACTGATCTTTATAAATGTTGAAGTTGTCAATTCAAGAAGAGGTGAATAATTTATATGATAAAAGATCATCACAGATTGATGAAAATTATCATTTGTAGGTATTCATACACACCAACAATTTTGTGATAGTGAAAATCTATGAGAATTTTAAAACATATTAAACACTTATGATTTTTTTATGATTCAGTGGTGTAATTTAATTATCAATAAAATTGCATGAGAAAGTGGAAAAAATTTTTTTATTTAACATGATCCTTATATTAGTATTTTAGTGTTGAAAATGATTGAAACTACATGCAATGGATAATATAATTTTATAGCGTATAATTTTCATGAAAGATATAACTATTTGAGAAAAGTCAGTGACTGGCTCAAGACAGTGACTGATTAATAACTAATTATCAACTGATGGTTATGTCACTACCTTCATTTTTAAAACAGATTATTTTCTTTTTCACTGAAAAAAGTTACAAGCAAAAAAAAAAAAAGAAAAAAAGAAATCTTCCCAAACTGAAACACTCTATTTTGTGTTTGGTGGTTGGGGGGTTGGGATGGGTTGGGTTACGGAGTCAAGATTGTATTTTCTTTGAAGTGGAGGACAGATTTTTTTGTTTTTAGCATTTTCAAGGATGGCTTATTTATTTCCAAATTCTGCCAGGCCCCTCCCCCTCAGAATCAAATGATTATTAATCCCCTAATACAGCTATCAAAATAATATACATTATATGCTCTCATTTTTGGTACATGTATGGCAGACCAATAATATTTAAGTCTTTAGCGTATGTACCTCAGTAAACTAAATATTAGTATACTGCATAGGTGAAAGACAATTATGAATTAACACCATCTCTCACATCTATATAAAATCATCCTCTGGCACTGATCTTGAATTATTGAACACTATAGATGGCATGTAACCACACTGAAATATGAATTCATCTAAAATAAGTATATATATATATATATATATATATATATATATATATATATATATATATATATATATATATATATATATATATATACATGGTGTAATACTGTTCAGGGGCGTAGCTTGACTTTTATTAAATTCTAGTGAGGCAAAACCATACATGTAGCAGCAAAAGGTCTTGGGCCGCCTTAAGCCCCCATCAGGTTCCGAGTGATGTCATGGGAGGGGGGCAATCTGACATAAAATGGAGTTGGGGTTTTAAAATGCAATGAAATTTCATTTGCTGTACTGGTTTCTTTATTTAAGACTTCAGCATGATACTACATATTGTAAAAGAATGTAAAAGCTAGAGTATAGAAATACATGTATGTTTACTAAAACTTTTGAAACATTTAAAAGTGAAAGTGCATCTTATTAAACTTTGCTTTTATTTCCATAAAACTTCAATTCAACATAAAAGAACTGCTTAAAATGTTAAAAGAAATGCCATTAATATTATACCTATTATCTGCAATGAATTGTTGATTATGGGAAGGGTCGGTGGTGGTGAAAAATCTAGTGAGGCAGTTGCCTCATTGCCACAATGGAAGCTACACCCCTGCTGTTTAGCTCAATATATAAAATAAAAATCATAAAGAAATCAAATGAAAAGACTCTTTTCTTTTTTTAGGTTGCTGTTGATGGGAAGCACTTTATTGAGTTCAAGCACCGCTTACAACCCTTGGATCGTTTCCGTTTCTTGGGCATAGTGGGTGATGTCAAGGTCACACAGATTAGGATTCAGTAAAACACATCAGTGACCCAGATGTAAAAGAGGAATGTCTTGACCATTGATTTACTTTCACATGTATATGTATATTTATATTTTCATTGTGTTTATTTCATGAGCATGTTTGTTTAAATCTTTAGCTTTCAAATAAAGGACTTGCTTTTTGTTAATGTATATATTACTTGTATTATATTTGATGTATTAATTACAATCATATGATATGTCTTTTTTACATTGTTTTTTTTTTTGTTGTTGTTGTTGTTGTTGTTGAAAATATACTTTTTTTTTTCCTATTCTTGTTATGTCGACTCTATTATAGATCTGCAAACTTGTATAATTTGTTCTGAATTAGAATGTTTATTTTGATGCAGTATTTACTGCATGACTATATACAAGGAGAATGAGAATGATTTTGTGATGAGAAAATTAAGATGTATATTATACACATTTATTTCTTTTAATTATTTTATAAAAAAAGTTAGGTTTTCATTTGTATTTATTGTCTGTTAGTTAGCTTTATGAATAGCACACAGAAAACTGTGAACATATTTCAATGACATTTTAGGAAAAAGGGTTTGTTTACCTTAGAATATGGGAGATTGGAATTGTTAAATTTTTAGGCAAGTGCATAAACAGGTCTTATACAACTTTTTTTTAACCTCACCAAAATTAACTTTGGATAAGATTATGTGAAAAAAAATCAACTGTTTGTGGATTAAAGTTATCAAAAAGTGAACATCTTAAGGCAAGAAAGAATCATTTAGATTTGTAAATATATCTGGTAATGGCCTCTTTATGTATAGTTCAGACATCATTTTTCTTTTATGAGTTAGTTCATTTCATAACATTTTTGGCCATTTTGTGGCCCTAGAAGATAAAACTACCATTGGTGTAGATATATGTATAAAGTAAAGCATGTTTATTATAATAGTCATCACAAATCAAAACTAGTATTTTTTTCACTCAGTATCCAGAAAATGCTGAATGATTCTAACTTTTGTTACAACATTGCAATTTCAGCTTCAATCCTATCTCTATTCCATATATTCATGTTTTAATGTACATATTGCTTTGTATTTAGTATTTTGTCAGTTAACTCAGCTGCATCATTTGTTATTGAACTTGACAATTTATTGCATTTAATGTGCAATATTTAGCCATTTTCAAAGTTCTTTCCTTTTTTACAGCTTCTTTAAAATGTAACCTAAATGTACATGTACTACAGTGTATGTAAGGCCAAAAAAAATTAATCTTCTAAATGTTGCAGGAATTAGGTCAAACACTGCCACATAGATAAAATTTAGTCACATATTAAAAGGAGAGTAACTCAATTTTCTATTTCTCAAGTTGAAAAAATTATATTATATCCCTTTTTCACCTATGCTCATAAAAAGCTAATTATTGTGTTGGTGTACTGTATAACTATGTATTTTATCATTTACTGTTTTTATAAAATGGTTTTAAATTCCATCATTTTAAGGACAGACGAATTACGCTCCTCAATAATATATAATTTTTTTCCAAGATTTCGTCACTGAAGTATTGCTACTTTAACATGTTTATACTCACAAAAAATTGAGGTACAGGCATTTGTGCAAGATACCAGAGGATAGTTTTTCTTATATAATCCTTTTGCAAAAAAAAAAAAAATAATATCAAATTTTTTTAGTGTTTGGAATTTTTTTTAAAGACATTTAGAAACTGGTTTAGAAATCAGAAGGTAAATAAAATTTTGAATATTTTTCATGCATTACGAAGATATAGTTTTACATAACAGATATTTGAGGAACGTATCATCAGACCTTAAAAAAAAAGTTTACTGAGTATCAAATATACGAGTACAAAAAGTAATAAGATTCATTCAGGTAAGACAGCATTTGCACGGGGAAAAAATGAATTCTCACTGTTGCATTTACCGGTAATTTTGAAATGATTGACCCACAGTAAGAAACTAAAGATTTCAAATTGTTTTGCTATTTTTTCAGTGCATGTCAACGCAAGTGCTATGAAGATGTATACGTAATTAAATTAAATAAATTTATTCAGATGCTTGTTTGCTATTGTTATTTGGGCTCCATTTATACATGTACTAGGTGCTATATATATTTTTTTTTGTACAGGGATTGCAATGATGTGTATTATATATACAATTTAAGCAATTCTAACTATGATTGTTTTGGTAATAAATTGTTTGCATCAAGTGCATTTTTGTTTTGTTTTGTTTTTTTTTAGCTCATCTTAGCCAAAGGTTCAAGTGATATTTTCTCTCTTGTCGAAATATGTCTGTTGTCTGTAATTTTTGTCCTTGTCATTGTTTGTGACTTTTCATAATTATATATTTTCATTTTCTTGTGAAAAACCCTAGGGCCACTGGGTCAAATTAAAGTCAAACTAAGCGAAGTATCCTTGGATGGAGTCTGGAGGGGATAAGAAGTTTGTTCTGAAGGGCCACATCTCCCTGCAAGGGGAGATATTCAAGAGATGCAAAAATATAATGGGACTGTCTGAAAAAATCTCTTCCTAAGAACCACAGGGTCAAAAAAGATAAATCTTGTATGAAAGCTCCTAATTTATTCAAGTGTCTTCAAATCATGCCCCCCCCCCCAATCAGGGGTGGGTGGGTGGTGCCCCAATCAGGGATCGACATTAATGGTTGTCCGATTGCCCGGGACAAGTAAATTCTCAATTCGGGCAAGTGAAATTGTCGACATACTTGTCCGATCGGGCAAGTGAATTTTTTTCATACAAATGTACATATTTATTTAGTTTACATTAATTTATAAATAAAACAATAAATTGAACACTTGATTTCCGCCACGCACCTGACTGACAATGCTTTTGCATTCGAAATTCCTTGGTAGCATTTCTGCTGGATTATATACCGTTCATTTAAAATTTGAGTTCGTTGTTTTCTTTCGTAGGAAATACGCTCTACGTCTAACAAAATTTTGTTAACTTATTAGGAAATTAGATTATTCACGCACAGAATATAAGTACAGTGTAACACGTTGTATTCTGATCAAGGTAAGATGTATGTTTCGTAGCAACTATCTTCCTTAAGCGTTGCTTCACAGTTATCGCTGTAAATCACGAATCACAGAATGATCCTACCGCAAATAATTTTCAAAAATATGATTTTTTTTTAAAGGAAACGCAGGGTTATTGCCGCATGGCAGTGTGTGTTAACAGGTTAAATAATGTACAAATTCAGGATCGAAATTTTTTCAGGTACCCGGTAGCTCAACTTGCCAAATTGACAGTAGTGTATTTCTTCACATTTGTTCTTTTCAAAACGTTTGCAGTAATTAATAATTTTCGCTTTAAGTTCCATCCTAATTTTGGGCAACCAAGTTTTGCATTCGGACAAGTAAAAGTTTGAGATCACTTGCCCGAAGGGCAAGTGAATCTGAAAGTTAATGTCTATCCCTGCCAATAGGGGTTCACTGCCCGTACGAAACTCTTAACTGTTTTCCGCCTGGAGTCCGGGCGGACTGAGACGGATTCCGGTTAAGTGCTAGGTGGACTAAGCCGTACTAAAGGCGGACATGGAAAACGTCTTAGCTTTAACCGTTTTCCGCCTCATATCTTAGGTGGATTCCACCTTAAATCTGAGGCGTATTTTTGTTAGACGTTTTCCGGCTTAGCTCTTAGACGGATTCTGCATTAATCTTTAAATTATGAACAGTTTAAATCATGACCACATGTTTCATTCCTCTAGATGACCTTGTTTTCTAAAGGCACTAATGGGGGAGATATTCGAAAAAAATAGTCAAACATCGCTTTTAATCCAGTTATTAGACTTTGAATATTAGGCTTTTTATTACATTGAAGATTGCGTTTCCTGGAGGAGTAATTTTTTGCAGCCATATTGTATATCAGATATACGTTTCTAATGCGCTCCTGCTTGACCACCCTCTACAGGGGGCGGAAGTTTTCAGGCAGAGCCTCTCTTTGGATGCATTGGTCAGTTTGAATGCAGATTTTGAAAGTGATGACTGTTGGTCAATTTGGTTGATGAATCTTTATATCTTATTCAGTTTAAAAAGGAACTCAGGCAAGATGTATGCCTGTAAATTACTATTCTGAAGATGATTTGTTATGTGTTTTTGGAAAAAAGAGTGATAAAATACAACTTTTGGTGTTATTCTTAACTAAGCTTTGAAGTGAAGCAAATTATGCTCGGTGAACATGCTGAATGGACAAAGAAGGACTTCTAAACACTGTACAGGAATACATGTAACTGTGAAAACAATTGGTAAGTTAAAATTTTTAGTGGTGTTTTTTCTTTTCTCTCTTTTTTTGAATTCGTACAGCCAAAATATGTACACACCACTCTCCACCATTACTTCCGATAATTAATTCCAATTGGAATTAATAGCATTGAGGCCCTATATTCACATTATACTCTACACTAACCCAGATGTTAAAAAAAGTTTGCGCATAAAATTTCAGGCGCCATTTCCTTTTGCCTAATGTAGGGTAGCCTCAACCCCCCCCCCCCCCCCCCCCCGTTTTCAATGTTATGAGTATATCCTTTTAGATTAAAATATTAAAAAGTACAAAGATAAAGGATAAAAAAAATTACTAATCCATTTGTCAATTATTAATCAACATGTACTTTTGTGTAATTTTATTTTCCACTTTGCGTATGTGTTTTCCGGAAATACGATTTCCTTTTAAAATTAGCGACCTGTAGTTACTTCCAGTTTTAAAGTCACGATATGATATGTGTTAGCACTGGTTTAACCAGTGGTTTATTAGTGGAATGGTGACACAGACACCCTTCTAAAAGTGTAGTTCTCTGCTCAGTTGGGATTAGGAGTCAGGTTCTGAGATGTAAGTCATCATTTAAAATATTAATATATACATCATGTACATGGAATTCTTCTTCTTTTTTTTTGATGACATTCTTAAAATACATTTTTGGGGTGAAATTTGAACAAGTTTTTTTTATTTATTTTTTCATCCATATTGAAGTGTACCATTCCTCCTAACGTTGATGCATCTACACGATAGTTTTCCTAATTATTCAATAAGCAGCTGCAAATGTACATTTCAAAACATACATGGATATGAGTATATTCATTTAAGTTAGATCTACATATTTCATGAGCATTTATTGAATATACATGTAAATTAAAAGCGTTTGTAGAATGGGGTCTTACGTTATTACCTTTTACAAATATATGAAGATTATGAAAAGTAATTGAATAAGAGATTAAAAACCTATTTAAGTCAATTTTAAAACTGTGGATATTAGGATTTTCTGCAGTGCAGTGTTATACATTTCAGCACTTCGAGCTTTTTAAGTCCTCAGCAATTTTGGCCGATAAAGGTAAAATGAGGACTGCAGCAACTGCAGCAAGTCAGGATGAAGGCCAGAAGTCACTGTCCATCCACCCTTAGGAGTAAACTCGCAACGCTGCTGAGACTACTCATTTGAGAGCTTGCTGAAGATTCATGGGAAAAAGGAATGCAGTCTAACACCTGTGCTTCATTCAACTGTATTGGAGGTTATTAGAGGTAAGAATACATGAAGACATCAGACGTCTGATAAATATATAAAAAAATATTCTTATATTTTGTAAGTTTTAGTGTTGAGAGAAATTAGACAAGACTGTTTGCATCCTGATCTGTAATACAGAATAGAATGTCATAAAAGAGTCATTTTATTGAAAAATGTTGAAGAGTTGTTTTAAAACAAAAAATTCATCTCAGTTTGTATAAATTTCTTTATAGACTTCAACATGTGGTGACCGTGTGTGAAGAATGGCAAAGGAAAGCTTGAATCATGGAAAAGATAAGTTATTCCAGATAACTTAGGAAGAAGAACAATAAAATGACACACTCTTTCCTTGCAGACAGAAAGAATTTTGTGAAAATAATTAACCAGTGGTAAATTAACAGCTAATTGGTTTGTTGAATTGACTTTTAAACAATGGTTTTGTCTTTCTTTTTTTATTTGTTAATTCAACTGTGACAGTCACATTATTATGTAGATGTATGAAGAAAAATCAAGTTTTGGTACAATATTTTTTATCTTTTTATTTCATGTGAATTTAAGGCAAGGCATAACATTTTCAAATGTAAAATCTTTTTAGTCATTGAATTTTAAAGAACTTGTAAATAAATGATTTATAATTTGTATAATTTCATTTTTTTTTTAATTGTTAAGTTTGTAAAAGTCTGAAACAACAATAGCTGATACACTGTGATAGGCAGATTATGTAACCATTAATGCAAAATCCCTCTAACCATTAAGGCGGAATACGCCTTGCTAGTAAGGCAGAATACGCCTATCTTAAATAAGGCGGAATACGCCTTGCTAGTAAGCGGAATACGCCTATCCTAAGTAAGGCGGAATACGCCTTGCCATTAATGCGGAATACGCCTTGCAGGTAAGGCGGAATATGCCTTGAAAGTAATCCATATTAGGAAAGGCGGAATACGCCTTAACTCATTTAAATATTTCGAGCCCTATTCCGCCCTGATTCCACCCGGACTCCGTCTAATAGTCTTATTAAGATCTTTATAGATAAAGGCGGATTCCGTCTTTTGATTTCCGCCTAAGGTCAGGGCGTAAATTTTCGTACAGGCGAGTTTTAGATGGAAATATTATTACAGGGATAAAATGCTTTATAATTTTCTTCTCAAAGCCAGCAATAAGTCAATGTCATGAGGTAAAAAAATAATGGTACCAAATTAAGGAATCTGAAAGGTTTTGTCACAAAGAATGTGTAAGTGGAATATAAAAGACATAGCAGCAACGGTTCAAGTTTTTTTTTTCAGTTGTAGGTGAAAACTCAAAGGTCAAATTCGAAAGGTAAAAAAAAATGTTGGTACCCAAAGAAAGGTCCGGACATTTGGAATATAGTTGTGAAATATAAAAGCCCTAGATCCAACCATTCAAAAGTTATGGCCAAGGTTAAAGTTTTGTTAATTTTGCAAAAGTAGGTCAAACACCCTGGGTCAAGGCGAAGAGGTCAAATTTGTTACCAAAAGAAAGGATATCAAAATTTATCACTGTGGGCAAGGTTATTGTGGACAAACAGATTAACAGAAAAACAGTCGGACGGACAGACCAAAAACTATATGCCCATGAATCTTCGATTACGGTGGCATAAATTATATGCATTTTTTTAATCAGTAAACGAATTACACAGGTACGAAAGCCGGATAGGCTCGTTTTTGACAAGGCAAAAAAAAAAAAAAAATTAACTCGTTATAACGAGATAATTATCTCGTTATAACGAGATACAAATTGATCTAAAGAGTTAATACATCTATTAGTAAAGAATCGACAATTATTTATAGGAAATATATAGAAGCGAGTCGATCAAATTTGTTTGAAGTGTGCATGCGTGATAAAGATTTTATGGAACAACAGCATACTAGTTTTTTTGTTTTATGCCTTTGATCAGTTATTGTTTATTGAAAAGACCGAAGACAAATATACGGAAACTTATGACCGCCTCATGTTGTTGTGTTATACCTTGAAATTGCAAAAGGGGCAAGATCAAAATTCAATGTCTGACAAAAAACTAAATTCACGTTGTTTTTATCATCAATCCCTCCTTCCCCTCAATAATAAACATGATGAAGATAAAAGAATTTAAAGAAACATTTTAATTTACCAATTTGGCATGAAATCTCATGTACAATATGTATTTTTGCGTTGTTATCAATGTGGTAGAATAAAAAACCTTTTGGGACTCTTTATTCTACGGAAGCCACAATAAAAAGGTGAAGGTCAGCAGGCTGAAATGTAGTGCATGTAGGAAATTCACATGCCTCACTTTGACAATAGTAAAAACAGTTGATATGTCTGTGATCCTTTTTGGGTATAGAATGAAAGTGTATAAAATATCTAAGTTTACAATATGATACGCATTAATTAAGGTGTATTTCAAGCATAAATTATGCCTAGAATTATTACTTGTATACATCCTGGTGGAAAGATGCGTGGTTCTATCTTCAGGTGGATCCTCCCTCATCAGATGTTTCGGCGCTGTCCACTACAGCCTCCAGAGGTGCGCCGACTGGGGTGATCAGGTCCCAGCCCGGAACCACTTGGCTTAACATCACTGCGGTTCTATTTTACTGTCTATATCACTGCTGTATCTTAACTGTCTTTCCATTTACCTGCCCTTCTTCTCCACAACCACATAGATGCTGACTCTGCCTCCCTACACAGACTCCCTATCAGTCTCCTTCTCTCTGCTCCAGTAATGCCAATGACTCTCGGTGCCCTCCACATAGACTGTCCCACAAATCCTCTACATCCCACTTCAACTGCGAAAAACCAGACCTTCCATCCATTTTGTTGACAATCCGTCACTAGGTCTTGGTACTTTAGGTTTTTCCTCTCATATGCATCCTCCATTCTGCCTTCCCATGGTAATTTTAATTCCATAAGAATTGTCTGTTTTGTTGCCACTGACCAGATAACTATGTCAGGCCTCTTGTTTGTAGCTGTTATCTCAGGTGGAAATTCTAATCTTTTCTTGAGGTCTTCCCGCATCTGCCAATCTGTTGCTGTCCCCAGCAGACCACTTCCTTCCACACTAACTTTATGTCCTTTTTCACCTTCTTTCACAAAGTTGACAAATCTCAGGCCCTCTCTGTTTTTCCTTGGTTTTTTGATACTTTTCTCCAAGGTGTCAGCTATACTGGCTAGAACTTTATCATGTCTCCAAGTGTATCTCCCATCTTTCAAAGCCTGTGAGCATGCTGATAATATGTGCTCCAAGTTTGCTGATTTACTACAGAGGGCACACTTTGGATCATCTGTCACTCCCCATGTTACAAGATTAGTTGGGCTGGGAAGGACATCGTAAACTGATTTCAGCTTAAATTGAAGTCTGAATGGTTCCATCTTCCAGATATCATTCCATCCCAACTTCACCTGGCGTGTATTCTCCCAGTTCAACCAGCTACCTTGTTTCTTCATTCCAGCTGCTTTCACCATTCTTGAATCTTCCTCTATTGTACGCATTAAATTTTGTTTCTCCTCTACTGAAGCTGTCCCCCATCTTGCTGTTGGTGTGTCATCACGCCCTTGTCTTCCTATTGCCTGTCTTCCAATTATATCACTGATTCTCAAGCGGGATTGTGCTTCCTCTATAGTTTCCTTTACTGACCACTTTCTCCCTGTCCTAATTTCTACTTTCGCTGTCCGTACCCTCTCATCCTTGCTATTCTGTAACAATAAATGTTGACGCACTTTTGTCTCCTTGAAGTCTTCAGTAATAGACTTAAGAGGTAACTGTAGCTTTGTCCCAGAGCTATATAAACCAACGCTGCTGAAACTTCTTGGTACCCCCAGCCATCTCCTCAGATATCTGCTTGCTATTGTTTCCATCCCTTCTACTATGGTCAGGGGTACGTCGTACACCAATAGCGGCCATAAGAGGCGAGGCAGTATCCCATGTTGGTAAATCCATGCTTTATATTTACCAGGCAGTCCACTTTTATCCAAAGTTTTCATCCATTCATTCAGCTGTCTGCATGTTTCTTTTACATTCTGTCTGTCTGTTAATGTGTCGTTGAAGAATTTCCCCAAGCATTTTACTGGCTCCTCTGAGACTGTTGGTATTGTCTCTCCATCAATCTTGAATCTTTCTTCCTTTACTTTCCCGTTCTTTATGACCAAACTTCGGGATTTACTTGGTTTTACTTTCATTCTTGCCCAAGTGATTGCTGATTCTAGTTCTTGTATTGTCCACTTGGCTTCAATAACTGTCTTGGTTGTAACTGTCATGTCATTCATGAATGCTCTCCCTGGTGGTTGGCGTACTCCTGACTTCATCCATGACACTCTGCTCTTCTTCTCCACCGATTTGACTATCATGTTCATTGCTGCTGAGAACAGGATAACTGATATGGTGCATCCTGTGACTTTACCAATTTCTAAGCGTTGCCATGCTGTTGTGTAATCCTGTACTGTGAATCTTAGCTGGAGATGATCAAAATAGTCTTTTAAAACTGCCCTTGTCTTCTCTGGTACATGGTATCTTTCGAGTGTCAGTTCAACAAGTTTGTGGGGTACTGTTCCATAAGCATTTGCTAGATCTAGCCAGACTACTGCCAACTCACCTTTGGACTCCCTGGTTTCCCGGATTATCTGTGTCAATACACTTGTGTGCTCGATACATCCTGATATTCCAGGTACTCCTCCCTTCTGCACAGCTATATCAATGTACTGATTTTCAAGCAAGTAACTAGACATTCTCCTAGCTAAAATTGCAAGATATATCTTTCCTTCTACGTTCAGGAGCGATATTGTATCAGTACTTCTCATTTCTCTTCTTTGGAAATAAAACAGCCTTCTGCTCTGTACCAGCTCTCTGCCAATCGGCCTCTCCTCCAAACAACTCTTATCAGTTTCCAGAGACGCGTTGTCAGCCGTTGACAGTTCTTATAAACTTTATATGGAACTCCATTTGGTCCCGGTGCTGATGCTGCTCTGGCTTTCTTAATTACCTCTACCACTTCTTTTAGCTTTGGTGGTGATTCATCAAAGTGTTGATTTGGCTCCTCAGGATGTATCAACTGTTCCCACTCCCCTAGCTCTTCGTCCCTATGTGGATCACTGTGCATCTCCCTCAAATATTTCTCCACCTCCTCCTTCGAGCTCGTAACTGTGATAGTGCTGGTTTCTCCTCTTCTGTAGCCTTTATATACTGCTTACGAAGCTGCCGCAGGTCTTGTCTCATCTTTGCTATTTCCCTCTCTCTCTTGTTCTTCCTTCCCTCCTTTTGTGATTTTTTCCTTTGTTCTGTGCCAACCTGTCGAGGTCTACGTTGTATATAATTGATGTCATAGCTTCTATTTTCCTGTCAATACTGCCTGCAAGGGTCGTATTCAGAATTACATCAACATCTCGATCAAACTGTTCCCAGTTACTTTTATTGTTACTGTTTGGCCATTTTACTTTCCTCCTCCTTATATCACTTTCAGTACACCGATTGTCTCCCATCTCTTCTTGCTGTTGATTTCTGGTCTGTAATTGATTGTTGTCATCACTGTCATGGGTCTCACTGTATGAAGCCTCGTCATTGCCTAACACATGGAGGCTGTGGTCACTCTGGTGTTTGTCCTGAACCACTTCCTCCTCCGTCTCACCAGGTTGCCCTGTGCGTTGTGTTAACCGCTGCTCTGGCTTACATCCCATCTTCCCCATGTGGATTTTAAGGCCCCTTTGATTCTTGCATACTTTCCCACAGCTGCATACATTTTCACTGTTCGTAGTCGTCATCGTTTTCCGTTGCCTGGTTGCATCCTGATTATCCATCCCTACAGGTCGCTCATCCTCCCCCGCTCTCGCGCGACCTCGGGGGTGTTTAGGTATATATCTGTCCATAGCGTGATGAAATGGGTCCTTCCTCACGGAACTTGTGCTCTGACCTGCCAAGCCTCCACACCCCTGATCCCAGTCTCTGTCACAGAGTGGCTTGCGGCTTCCCAAATTACAATTCAATTTTTTTATATAATAGTTATTTTTACAAAATATACAAAACACACGCGTTTTCTGCATGGCTTAATCAGTTAATGGCTCAATGGCTGAATGGTTCAATGGCATAATAGCTTAATGGCATAATGGCACAATGGCATGATGGCTTAATGGCTTTATGGCTTTATGGGATCTATTATATAAATTAAAGTTAGATACAGACATAATATACTTAATACTAGTATACTTCGCTCATACTTGTACATTTTCCTGTACATCCACTAAGGTGCATTTTACTGTATTATACATATAATAAGTTGCATTTTAGTGCACTTTACATATACTTCATTACTTCAATTTACTTTACTTTACAGAACTTGTACGTTCACACATAGAATAAGTGTACTACTTGTAGACAATAATTTTACTTTAAGACGAATACTATACGACATACTTTGTACATACAACACTATGTCTACATTATACATATACTCATACACTTATACTTTTACTTATAATATATATACATTACATGAGCAAATACTACTTTGAATCTAACTTACGAATGAAAATATAGAACAAAGTTCTGTGGCCATTTCAGGAATAAAAACCATCAATAAACAATATCAACTAATGATAATAAATAAAATACACTTACCCAGAATAGGTGGACCTCTGGTCATTAAATATAAAACAATTATTTAAGCATACAGGAAAAACTTGAGCTGTTTTACAACACGACTGCTCTGGTCATTTGCTACGCCCAATCTGATTTCTGAATAGCATGGGATTTAAATCGCCGGGTAAAACCTGCTGAACAAGCTTAAAAGTATGGAGAACATATTGGGCAATAAATATTAGTTATACAGTAATTTGATAAAATATATGGAAACAATTATGGACATGAATTGTGACAGTCTCTCCTGGTTGTCTCCTGTCTCTCCAGGTTGTCACTGAACTTTTCTCAGTTGTCATCCAGACTTTCCTGGCTGTCACTGGTTTCCAAGATAATATTACTTGTATACATCCTGGTGGAAAGATGCGTGATTCCGTCTTCAGGTGGATCCTCCTTCATCAGCTGTTTCGGCGCTGTCCACTACAGCCTCCAGAGGTGCGCTGACTGGGGTGATCAGGCCCAGCCCGGAATCACTTGGCTTAACATCACTGCTGTTGTGAACTTTTCATAATTCTATATATTTTCATTTTCTTGTGAAGATCGAACCCCAGGGCCACTTTGCAAACAATCCTTGGGTGGAGGGGATAACAATTAATATAAGTTTCTTCTGAAAATGAAGGGCCACGCCTTCCTGTAAGGGGAGATAATCAAGAGATGCACAAATATGATGGGACTGACTGAAAAAAAAATTGTTCCCAATAACCACGGGGCCAAAAAGGATGAATCTTGTATGAAAGCTCCTAATCTATTCAAGTTTGTTCAAATCATGCCCGGGGGGGGGGGGGGGATCACAATAGTGGATGAGAGTTCTACATGGAAACATTATAGTGATAAAATGCTTTATAATTTATCTTCTCAAGGCAAGCAATAGGTCAATGTCATAAGGTAAAAAATTAGTGGTACCAAAGTAAGGAATTTGAAAGGTTTTGTCACAAAGAATGCATAAGTGGAATATAAAAAGCCACAACAGCAACGGTTCAAGGTTTTTTTTTCAAATGTAGGTCAAACTCAAAGGTCAAAGTCGAAAGATGAAAAATGTTGGTACTCAAAGAAAGGACCGGACACTTGAAATACACTCGTGAAATATAAAATCCCTAGATCCAACCATTCAAAAATTATGGCCAAGGTTAAAGTTTTGTAATTTTTTGTAAAAGTAGGTCAAACTGCAACGAGATAGTTATCTCGTTATAACGAGATACAAATTGATCTAAAGAGTTAATACATCTAAGTAAAAAAATCGACCATTATTTATAGGAAATCTACAGAAGCGAGTCGATCAAATTTGTTTGAAGTATGCATGCGTGATAAAGATTTTATGGAACAACAGCATACTAGTTTTTTGTTGTATGCCTTTGATCAGTATTGTTTATTGAAAAGACCGAAGACAAATATACGGAAATTTATGACCGCCTCATGTTGTGTTATACCTTGAAATTGCAAAAGGGGCAAGATCAAAATTCAATGTCTGACAAAAAACTAAATTCACGTTGTTTTTATCATCAATCCCTCCTTCCCCTCAATAATAAATATGATGAAGATAAAAGAAAGAAACATTTTAATTTACCAATTTGGCATGAAATCTCATGTACAATATGTATTTTTGCGTTATTATCATTGTGGTAGAATAAAAAACCTTTTGGGGCTCTTTATTCTACGGAAGCCACAATAAAAAGGTGATGGTCAGCAGGCTGAAATGTAGAGCATGTAGGAAATTCACATGCCTCACTTTGACAATAGTAAAAACAGTTGATATGTCTGTGATCCTTTTTGGGTATAGAATGAAAGTTTTTAAAGTATCTATAAAGTTTACAATATGATACGCATTAATCAAGGTGTATTTCAATGCCTAGAAATATGTATTGTATCGTGAGACAGGATTTTTGATATTTTCACTTGTGTTTCGCACTCATGAAAATATAAAAAAAATCCTGTCCCACACGTGAAATAAATTCCATATCAACTACAAAACATTGAATATCCTCTATTTATTACACCCCCCCCCCCCCCCAAAAAAAAAAACAAAACATCAATCTCTTTTTGAAATAAAAATTATATGCTTGCAATGTATACATAATAAATATTGTGATGAGGAAAATAAATAACGACGTTGCTTCAATGTTGTATTAATAATATACATGTACATGTAGTATTAGGTCTATTCGTTGATCAATCCTAAGTAAAAAGATTATAAAAGTGAACTGGCGTTGTCAACTTTTTTTCTTTTTTCTTTTGTTTTGTTAACTCTGGTTTGATGTTTTGTCAACATGTGGTAAACATAAGTGTAAGATCCGCCAAATAGACGTGAATCTCAAATAGATCTACGTGAATCTCCACAGCTTGCCCCCCCCCCCCCCCCCCGCAAAAAATATAAACAGTGAATCATGACAGAATATTAGATAAAATGTCAATATCAGTAGATCAGATCTAACGTCTTATTACTTAGAAGAATGTAATATCATTTTTGCTTCATCATTCCTCATCATCGTGGACAATCTTCATAAGCTAATAGTTCAAGGGGGGGGGGGGGGGTAAACCAAGTAAAATATTTGACAAGAAAAAAAAAAAAAAAAAAAAAAAAAAAAAAAAAAAGAGAGAACAGATTTGATATTCCAACTACGAGTATTCGCCATTATTTTCGGGATATATTTACTCAGGTAAAAAAAGAAATCTGGAGGAAGGGGCACAAAGATAATCTTGACCGCCCTCTTTTCAAAAGTGGTGGTGGGGACATTAGTCCCCCTATTACTACGCCTATAATCTAACTGCTGATGTCTCACCATCCCCCTTCTTCAAAACATTTCTGAATCTCAAAAATAACATATGTATCACACTGTAATCGTATATATTACATGTATATGTTGCATAAACGCCTGCGATATGTTGCACTTAAAACGTCCCTGATATTTAATTTTAGCGGTATAGAAATCGATATAAGAAAGTGTATAAGTCGTTCAAAACATGTCGAAATAGTGTCATTCATCAGAAATAGTTGTCATAAATAAATTGCCAAAGTTTGACGTTCTGCAGCGTCCGTGTGCCCAGCTGGTCGAGGGAGATTGAAGCAAGTATATTTGGCAATATTATTTTAAGAAAAATGTCGCGTCCTAATGCAACAACTTGAGGAGGCGTTCACGAATTAATGTGTACATTTTGTAAATGTGTTCGCCTTAGAGTTGCGATACTTATCAAAATATGATTATTAACAGCGAGATAGTTCAGGATTTTATCAAAAGTAAACCCGAGAGCAAATTAAATTTTCAGCCACTTACCAATTGTGCAAGTTAAATTTGACTGATAATTACATGTACTAGCTAAAAATTCAACTGCATTAAAAACTACAGCCATTTTTATTCCTATACTGCTATTAAATCTCGAAATAAAGAGAAAACTATCTCGTTATAACGCGATAACTAACTCGTTATAACGAGATACTTACTCGTGATAACGCGGCTTTCGTACACAGGAAACATTTAACGTACGATTGTCTAGAATCGCGTGACGTCACATACCGGAAATGCCATATTAGGCTGGGTTACATATAAAATTTGCAAACTTAAATAAGTGATCTATTTATCTTGTACATGTAAGAATAAGCTAGTAAAGGTAAGAATAATTATAAAAAAACTGATACTCTTTATCAGGTGATCTTATACAATGTAGTGCATTATTTTAATTTCACTTTACTTATTGGCAATCCCAAAGAATGTCTCTGCCTTCCTTTCGGTTTTGTTTATGAGTCACAAAAAACAGGTGTTGTAAATAATAACGCTTCGTTACAAGGTACAGTTTCTTTGTTAATTTCGTTCAGTATCAATATATTCTTCATTAATCTAAACTACGACTTTGACATAATGTATATTAATTTATGTCTGAGACACAAAAGCAGGTGTTTTGTATGTTTTGTTTCATTTTTCTGCTTCAAAGGAAAACCATATATTCATATCTTTTTTAAGTAACATAGATTATTAAACCCATTCATAAATTATTATTATAATTATTATGTTTATTCGGGAAAAGTATCAAATACATTACAATCATAATACAATCACATTAATAATATCAATTTGGGATCGCTAAAGAGTTGTGGCACATAGCTATCACAGTTGCACAATATCACCCCGGGTATTATCACAGTTATCATGTACCTGTTCATTTACTTTCAGATACTAGGGAAAAATGTTACCATCTCTTTCTTCTGTTTGTTTTTCAACATTTCTTTGTGCCATAATTTTCCATGGAGAATCTGCAGCACAAGATCTGCGTAAGTGTAATATATTATAAGTTAGTTTAACTTATGGAACTGAGATCAACCCAATCTTTTATAGTCATTACCTGTTGTGAAATGTTCTAGTCATTAGGACAGTTCATTAAGTTCAATATCAGTAACCATGATTAGCATTGAGTTTGGTCCCAAACTTTTCATCTTTACAAGCCATTAAGGGTTTTCAATTGAATGCGCCTTACAACCCCTTGACAGATTATGCCACTAAAACTGTGGCCAACGTACATTGGCAACATCTTCTGGGCATACTAGATTTTAATTCAAGATTCAAGCCTACCAGGTAACAGCTTTCTAAATTGCAACTCAGTATCCATTGTAAACAAGAAACTGCATGGGGTGCACATGAAAGCAGAGATAGGAGAACTACTAAAAGGAAAATATTATAGGTTTATTAATTAACATAAAAGAACTGATGTGACAAGAGGATAGAATGTATTTTTGAGGAAAAAACAGGGAGTAGCAAATTTATATATTAATGTTCATCTTTTGGTTTTTTTTATATGATGTTATGCAACATGACAACAGTCTTTTAATTGATTCCAAGGGTCTAGTTTGGAAGGAATAAAATATCAGTCACAGTTTTAGTGGCATAATCCGCCTTGAGTTTGTGGGGTGAGTTGTATACCCTTGGCTTGTGAAGACACAAAATTTTAAGAGGATCTAAAATCTGAAGATTTTTTTGTGATGAAGATAAATACATAAACATATACATGATCATGATGATTCCTTAGAAAAAAGCTTGTGAGAATCATCTGTATATACGATTATTGTTCATAAATTATCCAAAGAAGATGCACAGCAACAACTAAATATCTAGTATTAAGAAGAAGATATCTTGAATTTTTTATATTATCATATTGACATGACATATATTATACATAAGCTCTATATTGCAGTACTGACTTATATGCCAGTGTATGTTTTATGAAACCAAAATCTGTGTTCCACAATTCAATTTTACATATTAATTTCTCGTGTGAGAAATGATACTTTATGACATCTGCAGACATAATCAATTTAAATGCCTTTCTTGTTACAGGATGTTGATTGATTTAGCATTTCGTAATGAATTTGTGTACATTACGTGGTTGAACAAGATACATTTAATTAAGTTTAAAACAATCCTATATTTTTTGGCTAAAAGAGAGTTCTAATCATATCATACTTCTTGTACATTACTTTTAGTCAGAGAACTTTGAGGGAAAAGTGGGGGGGGGGGGGGGGTTGGAGTGTTAGAGATATGAAATAAACAAAGGATGCATCCTCATAATTGTATTTGATTTCTAATATATTGTCTAAAGAAAAGAATAATGTACTATGTCATGTACATGTATGAAAAGTCTGTCAAAAAAGAAAGATAAAAAAAAGTTAACGGGTGGTCACATTGTTTTCATATACTTGATTTATATTAATATTCACTGGATCTGCTAGGCCTCCTTCAGAAGAATTAAAAGTTAAGGTTTTGTTATTTTAACATTTTGTGTCTACCACCAGTTATGTTACCCCTTTTAACAAAGGGAAATAATGATTGATTCCCATTTGATTATCTACAGATCTATGTATGTATTTAGTTTCAGAGTACATTTCCACGGGACCCTGACTGATGAATCTTTTCTTATGTTGAAATACATGTATATGTACATGATGTAACACACTGCAGGCATCATTTCCTAGATTATGAAGGTTTCTCTTTTTTTCATGGAAATACATGTACATGTGTTGGGGTTGTGTGTTTTTACTCCATTATAATTAAATTCCGGTGGTTTTATCAAATAAAAGGGAAAGTGAAACCACACACTTGACGTATAGGAACACTTCTGTTGAGTCAGCTAGATATGGATTGTCAATTCTTACAGTATATCTTGAAAAATGAGCCTGAAAGGATAAATCATTGAATAAGTCAACAAGGATATAAAAAAAATGTTGACAGGAAAGTTTTTCTGATGAATGTAAATGTATATATATTGATTTGAAAAAAGAAAAAAAAAACATGATTCAGACAAACTGATGGGCACTTAACCATGTTTACATGCTTGAAGAAAAATCTTATGAATTTATTATTAATTTTTAAGTTTTTTCCCCTTCAAGGAAGCAGGACATTGAGCATTTTTAAAGGGGATTAATATTAGATTACTTGAACTCGAATTGAACTCAGGTTGAATTTTTATTACAGTCTAGATGTCAATCATACAGTTAAGATAAATTTCGATAGTTTCTGTACCCAGTATGCACTATATTACTTGGTGCAGATGACGAGCATATTACACGTAAGTCCTGGAATGTTTGCTTTTTAGACTACTAACCAGGTATTGGTAAAATCAAATGCACTGCATCACATACAGTGTTTAAAACATGGGAAACAGAATTGTCCTTCAAGGGCACTGTCTTATTTTGAATCTAAAGAGAACCATCAGGTGTTGTGTATTGAATTTCTACATGTTACATTGTGGTAGTATATATACATATGGCATTTTGATGTTTACAATATAACAAACAGATTTTTTTATACTAGTTAAAATAATTTAGACACTTCTCATGCTGTTAGAGATATATGTTCTAATGATTTTATTCGATGTGCATGATGTTTGCTTCTAAACTAAAAGAATTTTCAACTCTTTAGTTTGTGTGGCATTTTAGTATATAAAATCACCCCTTTATTTTGTTTATACATGTACACTCCATTAATATTAATACAATATTATTGTAAAACAGGTCTAATAAATGACCTTTTCCTCAATTGCTTTAAGCATTTATCATGGCAAAGTCAGTAATTGTATATGCATACAGTCAAACCTCATTATCTCAAACTCAGTAGGACAGAGAAAAGAAGTTGAGATACCAGAAGGATTAAGATATTGAGGTTAAAATACAATAAGAAAAGTAGAAAATAGTGTCTGTGATGACTTTCAAATGACTTCAACATATCCATGGTATTCAAGATATCAGAGTTCAAGATACCAAAGTTCAGTGGTAGTTTATCTTCCTATTCCCCCAAGTCTTTGGATACAATTTCTGGATGTACTGCTACATGTCTCTTTTTTTTTCCTTTTTGACAGGCACTGATCCTTTGACCCCCACTCAGGAAAACCCTTGTTTGAAAGAGCAGACCACCACTTGTGGTGAATGCATTGCCATCTCTACATTGTGTGCATTCTGTACAGATCCAGTAAGTTACCATTGTTGTTAAAGATTTATACCAATATGAAATTATGAATCTGTATTTTACTGTATTTACCTTTCCTTCAATGTTGAATGTTTACTGTATCGGTAGATTAAGACCTAGATAATATTCTTAATTAAAGTGAAGGAAACTCTTTAATGGTGTATCTCCCCATTTATGTCAATCAACTAAATCAAGAGGTGTTTTCTTGAAATTGTGGAAGATGCATTGTGCAAGCTCTTAATTAAAGTGAAGGAAACTCTTTAATGGTGTATCTCCCCATTTATGTCAATCAACTAAATCAAGAGGTGTTTTCTTGAAATTGTGGAAGATGCATTGTTTATTTCTCTTATTGTGTTATTTGTATGCACCTCTTTCAAATAATCAAGAATACAAACACAAACATAGTCATAAGTAAGATAGTGAATGAGTATAATGCTTATATGATTTGTTGTGTAGGAGTACGACACTAATAATTATCCAAGATGTGACCTATTGACCACTCACCAGAAACAGGTGAACAATCAACCCAGGTGTAAAAACATTGTAAATCCATCATCCATCTTAACAAAGACAAAGGTAGGCCATCAGTCACAATTTGTTAGCAGACTTTACACAAGACTTTATCAACTGAAACTTTCATTAAACGTAGATTTAGAAAATGCATTTATTTATTTCTTACAAAATCTTCTTCTTTACTTTTGGACATCAAGTTAAAAATGTTATTTCCAGAAAAAAAATGTTTTTTAAGAATCAGAAGTATTGGGATAATATTTACTAATTTGTTAAAAATAATTTTGATTTTTAAGTATATTTATATGCTTTACATAGAGTTAGCAGACATTTATGATCTGTTTTACAGGATGACAGATTAGTAGATGGGGACACAAATAGATATGCAGTACAGATCAGACCACAGCAAATTGATCTCGAGTTAAGACCCAGTAAGTTAATTAGTACATGTTAATTAGTACGTATAGGAGCCTACTAGGTGTATCATCATGACTGGAGACTGAACATCAATATATGAAGATGTTTTTTGGAATCAAAAAATAGTTGTTTTTTTTTTTCATTTCATGCTTCTTTTTTTTAAATTTAATTGCTAAAATGTGAAAGAAATTTAAAAAAATTTGAAATTTGAAATTTGTGTAGGATATTTAAAGTTTGTTGATGATGATTATACATGAACATATAGTTAAAAGATTGAATATAGAATGGATGGGGGGATAAGTTTTAGAAATTCTGGGGAGTTTGATGGGGGTGGTTTTACAGACTAATTAAGTTCACAGAATGATGATAGGAAATGAATCTAGAGGAGGGAGGGAGATTTATAAGTAAGAGGGCCCTAGAGGATGGGAATCAGATTAGATAAAACTAAGATTGATGGTGTTAATAAAGATAAGTTGAAGTTATCAAGTCATTTTATAAAGCAAACAATAAAATTTCCAGATGACCCTCAGACTTTTGACCTGACCTTCAAACTGGCCGAGAACTACCCTGTGGATCTCTACTATCTTATGGACCTGTCCAATTCCATGGCCGACGATAAAGAGAAGCTGGCAAGCTTAGGAATCAAAATTGGTTTGTTTGGGGCTTATTTTATCATGATCATGTACAAGTATATAAAGGGACATAAGCCTGTTATGTAGATTTCATACTGGGTCATTTTAGAGAAAAATTAGATTTGCATGCACTATGTATGTGGAAGAATTGGCTTTGACAGAGACCAAAGAATTAATTCTGAAATGATGGTAAATGTAATTTGAGCTGTGAAAGTTTATTTATCAGGGTGTTGTGTTGAAACTTCAGACCTTAATACCTTATGTAAACTAAAGATGCTGTACCATTTGATCATGATGACTTGAGGTGTTTCTGATATATTTTACAGCGGAAGACATGAGTCAGATCACTAAGAATTTTAAGCTGGGATTCGGTTCCTTTGTGGACAAAGTGGTTATGCCCTATGTCAGCACAGCCCCAAACAAGTAAGTATTAAATTAGGAGTTCATGTACTTGTACAAGTAAGAGTCTAGGTTAACATCATTACACTCCCTAAATATGTGGCACCAGCCAAGCCAAAAGTATCATGCTGTGAACCTCTAGCATGCTGGAGTAGGGGGTCAGTGATAATTGTACTCTACTTGTTCTAAAATGTTCAAGAAAAGTTAAAATCCAAATTTCTTAGATGAATTAAAGAGAACAGTTCATGATATGTTTTCTTTGCTCTTGTTTTCTTTGCTCTTGTGCCATATGTAGAAGTAGTGCTAATTAATTTCTGCATGGACAAAATTGTTTGCTTCAAATTAATGAACATTACATGTCCAAAATGCTTCTAATACAATGAAGAGCTTCCATGTTTTGTCTAAGTAGTTTGTCCAGAATCTCTCTCTGTGTTGTAAAGAATTTCATGAAATATGTATAAACAGAACTTATTTTTCAGCTTATTAGCAGAGAATTTGTCACACAACTTTAGTAAAATAAACATGAACATGAGTGAAATTTAGTAACTTGCAAGCCTAGATAGACTAGAAAATGAAATGTTAAAAAAAAAAAATTGAATTTAACAACAAATTCTTTAAAAGGTGTCACATAATTTAGAATTTATTGTTTTTGGGTAGTGTACTGAATAGAATTTTGTAAACGGATAAAAAATGATATTGCAAAGTTGATAAAAAAGAATAGTCTAATCTAAAGGAATTATTTGAAATATTGCTTGGGAGGATTGTCTTGAATGAAAATGGAACAGGTAAGAGATTTGGTAACTACATGATCCCGATAATAGTTCTGCCTGTTGAGAGATTTTAATATGTTACACTAATAGAATGGGAGAATGGGCAAAGAGTTGCAAGTATGTTTATTGAACCTTGAAATCAGCCTTAAAATTACATTTAAAGTTACTTTTCTTCAAGAGAATTCAAGTGAAAGTAAAAAAAAAATGTTAACGTTGTGTATTGTGACATGCATGTACGAATGCACTAAGGAATGTAGACTGTATTTTGTATGTGACATCCACTTTGTTGTTTACACCAGGACTGCAAATGACGGATCGTAAGTGGATAATCCACATCTATTAATCCTTCTCCACCTTCACCCTGGCTTTTTTGTGACCAATTAAAAAATCGGGTTGTCTCAAAAATTAGCATATTAAGTTTTTTTCAGATAATTTGATATATATATATAAAAAAAAAAAAAGATGGCGAGACACATTTGTTTCACCTTTTCACAATAACATAAATTTACTACCATGGTCACACTGTCAAAGAGTGTAGTCTTTTACTAACAAATTTCACCAGTGTTTGAAAATCTGGGTGTGTAAAGTGTATAACTTTGTCTAAATTGTCCATAGTGTATTTTCTCAATACAAATTCTGTAAAATGTAAACACAGTTGTGAAAGCAGTTCGCTTGAGACAACCTTTATACAGTAGTACCCTGGTACATATTCCTTTCAGATTTGATGTTAAGCTCTTTGATTTTTGCTATTCCTGCTTGAAAAATACATTTTAAAGGCCAGTATAAGTACACATGTACTAAAAATATGTGTAAGATTTTTTTTTTTTTAGGTCACCTGAGTCACTCAGGTGACCTATTGCTATTCGTTCTCGTCCGTCGTCATGCATCGTGTGTTAACATTTGAACATTTTTAGCTTCTTCTCTGAAACCGCTTAACCAATTTCAACCAAATGTGGCATATAGCATCTATGGGTGAAGGGGAACAAAAATTGTGAATTTCATGGTCCCTGCCCCCCTGGGGCCTGAGGGGTGGGGCTAAAACCACCAAAAATAATGCAATCTTTAAAAATCTTCTTCTTTACTCCAGGACATCAAGCAGTCAAACTGTTGGCATCATTGTAATAAGCAGTGAGCCCTCTACCAAAATTGTGAAATTCATGGCCCCAGGGTCAGGGGTTCTGGCCCCAGGGTGGGGCTATATAGATCATATAGTGAAAGTGCATTATTTCTTTGAAAATCTTCTTCTTTGCTCCTGGATATTAAATAAAGTAACTAAGTACATAGTTATGATGAGCAAAAGTGCCTTTTTGAAAATTTTGAATTTCATGGCCCCAGGGTCAGGGGTTCTGGTGTTAGGGTGGGGCTCTATTGATTATATAGTGAAAATGCATTGATTCTTTGAAAATCTTCTTCTCTGCTCCTGGGTATTAAATAAAGTAACTAAGTACATAGTTATGATGAGCAGGAGTATCTCTTCCAAAATTGTGAATTTCTTGGCCCCAGGCTCAGGGGTTCTGGTGTTAGGGCGGGGCTCTATCGACTATATAGTGAAAATGCATTAATTCTTTGAAAATCTTCTCCTCTGCTCCTGGGCATTAAGGTGATAAACTAAGTACATAGTTATGATGAGGAGGTGGGCCTCTTCCAGAATTATGAAAGCCATGGCCCCTGGGTGAGGGGTTCTGATGTTAGGGCGGGGCTCTATTGATTATATAGTGAAAATGCATTAATTCTTTGAAAATCTTCTTCTCTGCTCCAGGGTATTATTTAAACAAACTAAGTGCATGGTTATGATGCATAAGGGTGCCTTTTCAAAAATTTTGAATTTCATGGCCCCAGGGTCAGCGGTTCTGGTGTTAGGGCGGGGCTCTATTGATTATATAGTGAAAATGCATTGATTCTTTGAAAATTGTCTTCTCTGCTACTGGAGATTATTTAAACAAACTAAGTGCATGGTTATGATGCATAAAGATGCCTTTTCAAAAATTGTGAATTTCATGACCCCAGGGTCAGGGGTTCTGGTGTTAAGGTGGGGCTCTCTTGATTATATAGTGAAAATGCATTGATCCTTTGAAAATCTTCTTCTCTGCTACTGGAGATTATTTAAACAAACTAAGTGCATGATTATGATAGGCAAGGATGCCTCTTCCAAAATTTTCAGATATATGGCCTCAGTTTTTGAGGTTCTTGAAGAAGGGGGGGGGGGGCTCTATTGATTATATAGTGAAAAAGCATTAATTCTATTAATTAATCATTAATTAATCCTGTCTACTCCTTAGCGTTGAACTGATAAATAAATTGCTTAGCTATGATGAAAATGTGAGCTTCGAACAGAATTTTTAAATCTTGTGGTCCTAGGGTCAGGGGTTCTGGCATAACTGGGGGGGGGGGGCTTTTGATAATATAGTAGAAAAGTGTTAATTCTTTGAAGTCCATAGGTATGATGATGAGGGTAACTCTTCCAAATTTGTAAATTTCTTGACCCTTGGTCTTGGGTTCTGGTGTTAGGGTAAGGCTTTGTTGAATCTGTAGTGAAAATGCATTGTACCTGTGAAATTCTTCTCTACTTCTGGGCATATTGGAAGAAAAGTGAGTAAAAGTTTAAATGATATAAATAAGCGTATTTCTACCAGATTTTTGAACATCTGGACCATTTGTCTAAGCATTCTAGTCCTGGGCAGGGCGCTATTAATTTGTATTCTACTGAGAGAAGTTATTCCCCTTTTCCGTTCACCTTTGATAATTAATCACTGTAAATAATGTATTTGAAAGGTTAATAGAATAAGATAATTATGCAAGAATGTTTAATTCAAAAAGTATTTTCTTAGTTTTAATAATCAGGTTGACCTGTAAGTAATAGATAAATAAAAATGAGACAAAAATAACCTATCTTATTAAAAGTTCTTCAAAGACCATAAGAGAGGTCAATGCTAGAGCTCTTAATATGGGTTTAAAAATAGTACTGAAGCACTAATAGTTTGATAATAGTCTGCATGGTGATAGTGTTAAGTGGGGGACAGAATTTAGAACTTAATTTATGAGTTGATACTGAATACTAGACTAATTATTTTGTTGATCCTGATCTTCCTACTTCTCTTGTTTTTGGGCAACAAAGCTTCATCCATCAGTGTATTTAACTTCTAAATTGTTGTATTATACTCAGGTGACCGTTAAGGCCCTTGGGCCTCTTGTTTACTTGTAGTTGTACAATACTTGTACCAGAAATTATCCAAGGAAATGGCATCTATACTATGATGGTTCTTAAGTAAAACACGGGGGAAAATTCTTAACTTTTAAAACCCATTTTAACACATTGAAATGGCAATTGATTGAGACAAAGAACTATGAAAAGTGTTTATTTCGTCTTCTTATGTGTAGTGTATTTGTCAGTCTTCATATTTCTTATAGCACTGCCTTCTAGAACACGTGATTGATTCATAACAAATTCATGTAGTTTGGAGTGGATGTCTTTCTTTATTCTATGAGGTTTTGGTTTGTGGGAGTTTTGGGGGAAAATGGTAAATAAGGGCCTTGTTTTGAAGTGTACTCTGCATACATTTAAAATGAATCTTTACTTAGGATCACTATAACTGAGTCAAGAGATATACAGATGCTGTATTTGTATTTATTAACTGTATAATTTGATTTTTTTTTCTGGTTTGGATAAGTAAAAGTGTTTTTTGTACTTCTTAGAGTTTTTAAAATATGAACATTACTTAAGTTGTAAAAATTCCACGTGTTCACTGTAGAAATTCTTTAACTATTAAGCAAATTTTGTATAGCTACATGTATAAAATCTCAATCATCAATTGTAAAATTTTTCAATTCATGTTATTTATTATATAAAACTGGGATTTGATGATGTGCTATAATAATTGTTTGCAGTTGTTTACTAACAAACATGAGTATGTATATATTTATACACTGTATCCACTTGGTATTCACATCAACAATATATATAGACAGAATTTCAAATGGTTAAGCCCAGCCAAACAAAATAAAAGACTGTCACGGTTGATAACATAAAAAAGATGCCTTTTCTCAAGGAGACTGTTCTTGTTTAAATATGTTTATTAAGGTGTTTTATAAAGTGATGTAGTATCAGATTTTTAATGTATAGCATCAGTATCAAATTAGATAAAAAGATCTACAGGTCTGCTCTATAGAAGACTAATAATAGGTAACAAATTAATTGAAAATCTGACAATTAAGATGAGTTATTTTGATATATAGTAGTTTTTGTCACCATTGCATGTGAGAAATTGAATTTTGAGGCTTGTGTGAACTTGGATTAATTTTATTACATTTGCATGTTTTGTGAATACAATATTATCGGTAGTTGAAAGTAATTAGGGGAAATGGAATGTACACTATTTTGTTCAGTTTTCATTTCAGATGTGTTTCCTTTTCAGAATTAACAGTCCTTGTGCAGGATGCGAGAAAGCCTATGGTTTTAGAAATGTTCATCCACTAAACCCCAATGCTACCTTGTTTAGGGTAAGTCTTCATAAGTTCAAAGTTATCTTGTAAAATATAGTGTTTTTCTATGATATCTGTTTATTTTAACATATTTGTATGAAATGCTTTGATATTCAGAAGACATGTATAAATTATTTTGACATTCATTCTAACAGTATATTTGGGAAAAAAGATAAAAAATTACAACCAAGAGATAAAAAATAAATCTGAGAATAGAAAAATTCATACATTATTTATATTTTCTAAGAGATTTTAATGCTTTGGGATCATGAAGTATGTGTACCTTTAACAACCGTCTCTGATGAGCAGTTTTCTATTTTAGGACAAGGTAAATGCCGCAAGAGTGTCTGGAAATCTGGACGCCCCAGAGGGAGGCTTTGATGCCATCATGCAGGCCGTGGCTTGTGAGGTACCACAATATCCACTTATTATTATACCTGTTTGATATTATAGTCCACTTAATGTAATACTTAAATTGCTAAAATACAGAACCATGGGTAGAGAGATATAGTGTATTGTTTGTTTTATTTGATCCACAGAGTCAGATTGGTTGGAGAAATCGCTCTAGAAGAATGCTGTTGTTTTCAACGGATGCTGGATTCCACTATGCTGGTGATGGGAAGGTATGCTTAGTATTTAAGTCCCCTACTGAAAGAGTTGTAAAGGGGGTTTGAATTTGATTCATTTGTTCCTATATGTATCTATCACAACAATAACTTCGGCATAGAACATTGAATTGTACTAAGATGTACAATTAACATCTTGAAATAAAGAAGACAACTGACATTTCACTTAGAGCAGAGGGAAGTTTTGTTTAGCTCATCTCAAGAAAGTGTGAAAAAAATTATACTGAACTAGTAACTTTTGATTTCCTACATATATGTTTTTAGCTCACCTGAGCTGAAAGCTCAAGTGAGCTTTTCTGATCACATTTTGTCCGGCGTCCGTCTGTCTGTCCGTCTGTCTGTAAACTTTTCACATTTTCGACTTCTTCTCAAGAACCACTGGGCCAATTTCAACCAAACTTGCCACAAAGTATCCTTGGGTAAAGGGGATTCAAGTTTGTTCAAATGAAGGGCCACGCCCTCTTTCAAGGGGAGATAATTAGGAATTACTGAAAAAATAATGGCATCATTTAAAAATCTTCTTCTCAAGAACCATAGGGCCAGGAAAGATGAAACTCATGTGGAAGCATCCTCAGGAAGTGTAGATTCAAGTTTGTTCAAATCATGACCCCCGGGGGTAGGGCGGGGCCGCAATGGAGGATCAAAGTTTTACATAGAAATATATAGGAAAAATCTTTAAAAATCTTCTTCTCAAGAACAGCAAAGCCATGATGAGTCATATTTATATGGAAGCATCCTCAGGTAGTGTAGATTCAAGTTTGTTCAAATCATGACCCCCGGGGGTAGGGCGGGGCCACAATGGAGGATCAAAGTTTTACATAGAAATATATAGGAAAAATCTTTAAAAATCTTCTTCTCAAGAACAGCAAAGCCATGATGAGTCATATTTATATGGAAGCATCCTCAGGTAGTGTAGATTCAAATTTGTTCAAACCATGGGCCGCGGGGGTAGGGCGGGGCTGCAATGGAGGATCAAAGTTTAACATAGAAATATATAGGAAAAATCTTTAAAAATCTTCTTCTCAAGAACAGCAAAGCCATGATGAGTCATATTTATATGGAAGCATCCTCAGGTAGTGTAGATTCAAATTTGTTCAAATCATGACCCCCGGGGGTAGGGCGGGGCCGCAATGGAGGATCAAAGTTTTACATAGAAATATATAAGAAAAATCTTTAAAAATCTTCTTCCCAAGAACAGCAAAGCCATGATGAGTTATATTGATATGGAAGCATCCTCAGGTAGTGTAGATTCAAGTTTGTTCAAATCATGACCCCCGGGGGTAGGGCGGGGCCGCAATGGAGGATCAAAGTTTTACATAGAAATATATAGGAAAAATCTTTAAAAATCTTCTTCTCAAGAACAGCAAAGCCATGATGAGTCATATTTATATGGAAGCATCCTCAGGTAGTGTAGATTCAAATTTGTTCAAATCATGACCCCCGGGGGTAGGGCAGGGCCGCAATGGAGGATCAAAGTTTTACATAGAAATATATAGGAAAAATCTTTAAAAATCTTCTTCCCAAGAACAGCAAAGCCATGATGAGTTATATTGATATGGAAGCATCCTCAGGTAGTGTAGATTCAAGTTTGTTCAAATCATGACCCCCGGGGGTAGGGCGGGGCCGCAATGGAGGATCAAAGTTTTACATAGAAATATATAGGAAAAATCTTTAAAAATCTTCTTCTCAAGAACAGCAAAGCCATGATGAGTCATATTTATATGGAAGCATCCTCAGGTAGTGTAGATTCAAGTTTGTTCAAATCATGACCCCCGGGGGTAGGGCGGGGCCACAATGGAGGATCAAAGTTTTACATAGAAATATAAAGGAAAATATCTTCTTCTGAAGAACTGCAAACCATGATTAGTCATTTTGATATGGAAGCATCCTCAGGTAGTGTAGATTCAATTTTGTTCAAATGATGACCCCCAGGGGTAGGGTGGGGCCCAATGGGGGATGGAAGGTTTTACATAAGAACATATAGAAAAAATATTTCTTCTCAAAAACAGAAAAGCTATGTTTAGTCATATTGATATGGAAGCATCCTCAGGTAGTGTAGATTCAATTTTGTTCAAATGATGACCCCCAGGGGTAGGGTGGGGCCCAATGGGGGATGGAAAGTTTTACATAAGAACATATAGAAAAAATATTTCTTCTCAAGAACAGAAAAGCTATGTTTAGTCATATTGATATGGAAGCATCCTCAGGTAGTATAGATTCAAGTTTGTTCAAATGATGACCCCTGGGATAGGGAGGAGCCACAATGGGGGATCAAATTTTTACAAAGGAATATATGGGAATTTTTTTTTTAAATCTTCTCAAGTACAAAGCCATTTGTTATATTGACATGGAAGTATCATCAGATAGTTTAAAATTCAGAAAGTACTGTAAACATAACACATGGGAAAATAATCTTTAAAATTCTTCTGTTTAAGAACAGCAAAGTCATGATTAGTAATATTGATATAGAAGCATCCTGAGGTAGTGTAAATTTAAGTCCCCCCCCTTAAAACTTTTCAATATACTGAACTGATTTCTGCTTCTTCCTACCCAGTTTGCTCAGGTGAGCGATGTGGCCCATGGGCCTCTTGTTACAAATAATTATTAGTATGTAAAGTTATGAAGAAAGGATTGTAGCATCTAAGACATAAGGAAAAAAAAAACAAATATTAAAAATGAAAAAAAAAAAAAACTGAATAGGGTTTAAAAGAAGCTCTATTTTAACAGTTTTCTTCACTATTTGTAGCTGGGAGGCATTGTTAAACCCAATGACGGACTTTGTCATCTAAGTCCTGATGGAATGTACACTGAAAGCTCCAATCAGGTATTTCTTGTTTCTGGTTGTTTAGATGATCAAAGCTTGCAACTGTAATAAAAATATATTATGAATCATAAAGGGTATTCATTATTGATTGCAGAAAAATTGGAAAATTCATCCATTCTCTGTATGAAAGATGATTCATGCTCTATAAGAACATCTAAGAACATCTTTTGTAGAAAGCTCAGTTTACATTATCAATCATGTTAACTTTAAATGAATCAATAAATTATACATGGTCTTGTAATCTTGACATGTTTGATGCTCCACTGAAAGAGATTCCATTTTTTTCTGTATGAAAGAAAAGACTTTTCACTAAATTTGGCATCTTTCTAATTCAGTTCAATTAAACTTTCAAATATTTATTCAGGACTACCCCTCCATCAGTCAGGTAGCTGTCAAAGCAAAGGAGAAAAACGTGAACATAATTTTTGCTGTCACTCAAGATCAGAAACCAATTTATGACCAGCTAAAGCCCATTATTGCTGGCTCTGAAACAGGAATTCTGGCCTCAGATTCACAGAACATTGTAAAACTGGTCCGAGATAACTACTTGGTAAGGGAATTAACTTGTGTTAGTATGTAAAAAATATGGAATTTTTTTGAATGAATGTCTTTGGGGAAATTGATTTTTTTACTTTGTTTAATTATGCTTATTTTTGATGACCTTTTATCATCTTCAGGGGTGGGTTGGAGTGTATGATTATGTCTCCCAAATGTATTTGACAACATGCATATGGTAGATAAATAAGATTATATAGGGCCCCGACACCAAGATGCAACTTTGTATGACTTTATCAGATTTCTAGATTTCTTTGGTTTTTTAGGCCATCACCTCAAAAGTGGAACTTATTGTGGAAAACTCTGATAATGTAGATGTAAGATTCAAAACAAAGTGTTTAGGGTAAGGAATGTTTTAAATTAATTTCGAATAATCATCTTTGTAAGATTGATGCAAGAATGAAACTTAAAATTGGATCATACTGTAAATGTTATGGTTACCAGTACATGTATATTTAAAACATGTACATGATATATGTTTGAAATGTGCTTTGTATTACCGGGACTGTACATGTACATGATGAGTTTGACATGCTTAATGTGTTTGGAATATTTTTACATTTCCTGTCTTTGAATTGGATTTCAGGAAAGTCGTAAAAGACACCAATAAGTGTGAAAATCTAGCTATAGGACAGTCGGTGAGTACACAAATTAACAGCAGTAAAGGATTTGAGTTTATAATGATGTGACTATACGTGTCTACTTGCTAATTGTGTAGAGTCATTAAGAGTTAAACATCATTAAACAGACACTTGTGTTCCTGAGCAAATTGTCAGGATTAATAAAGAATCTGGATCACTGAAACCTACTTTTAATATTTGGTAGATATAAATTCTGGAAGCTGAAGAATCCAGATTACCCATGCTTGATTGTACACATAATTTGTCTCCTTAGTCGGAAGACTCTTGATTTATAAAAACATACATGTAACACTGTATATGATAGTTACTTTGGGGGAATAAAAAATGAAAATGGTTGCTAACTAGTCTTACCATACTTGTCTTACCTTCTAAATTGACTGATAACCATTTATTTATAGGTGAACTTCAGTGTGACCTTGGAAGTAAAATCCTGTCCACCCGAAGGTCAAGAGGAGAAAATCCTAAAGATTAAACCAGTGGGATTGTACGACACATTGACTGTTAATCTGACATTTAAGTGCAAGTGTGACTGTGAATCTGAGGCAAAAATGGTGAGTCTGTGGTAGAGTTATTCCAAAAAAAATAAAAAAAACATGTGAGACTTAGCTGAAGAGTTTGTCCCCATCACAACTCTTATACAAATAGTTATTTCCTAAAAGCTAAGCATAGGGGTTAAGGTCAAGATTTGAATCAGTGCTATGGAGTTATTCTTTAAAAACACTTGAGTATTAGATGAATAAATTATTCCAACAAAGCTCAACACATGAAACTTACTTCAAAGTAAGGGCAACACTTGTGATTTTGCTATAAAATATGTGAGTCTTTTGCAAGCATTTATTTCAACTAAGTTTAACACACGAGACTTAAGTTGGAAGGGCAAGATTAAGTCTATGCTATTAACTGTGCAACACTTACATGTAAGTCTAAGACAGAGAGTCATACTTGGAAATGAATTTTGACCACACAAATGTCAAATGTATTCTAATCAGGGATTGAAATATTTCAACCCCTTTTCTAACAAAGCTCAACACAAGGGCTACTGCTTTTTTTTTAAATTGCTCATCATATGAGCTTTTGCTACATACATGTGTTAGTAACTATAGCAAAATCAGTCTGGCATATTTTCTAAAATTTTATTCTGACTTTAAGAACAGAAAAAAATAATCCTCTTTTAAAAGCAGTTTTCAGGTACATGCTTCTTATTTGTAATTACCAAAGCTGAAAAATAAATTTAACAGTTTAATAAAAGTACAAATTTAATTTTTAATTCTTTTAGAATTTGTTTTTGTTCTTGATACATTTATTAAGATTTTTTACTTGTTTGTATCTCAACAGGAGGCCAATAAAAATCATGCAAATTGTAATTACAATGGAACTTATGTGTGTGGTATGTGTGTCTGTAATGAACCATATTTTGGAGATAAGTGTGATTGTAACAAGGGAACAGGAACAATCGCAGACAAAGAGAAGGAATGCATTCAGTAAGTTTGTTTAACATCTAAGGTTGGTTGTGTACATGTAATGGCACCTTATGTTGAAGTGTTTAGGACTTAACTGTTAGTTTGGTGCACCCAAGATAGATTGTGTATATTGGCACCTTTGACTTAAGTGTTTAAGATATGACAGTTACTGGAATGAGACCAAACAGAACTAGCTAGGCTCGTCACAATGAGTAAACATGACATGATTTTAATGATGTAAAAATAACCAAGATATATGAAAGTGCAGTAATCTTTATGATTAAGAAGCACGTTATACCTGCATTAAAAGGTCTTAAAAAATAACCTAACTATTTGAAATATGTAAGCATCGGATTACAGAAATCTGGGAACTCAAGATTTAATTTAAGACTAGTGAAGCTTTATTATTTGACATTCTTCTTATAGTGTGTATATACTTGTACATGTATGCAAAACATGTACAGTCTAACAATTTGAACTTAAAATAATGTTGAAAAATTTCTAGAGACAAGAATACGACTATCATCTGTAATGGACGAGGGGAGTGTAACTGTGGGAAATGTATTTGTCGTGAGAGACAGAAGGGTACTGCACAGTTTTACACGGGGACTTACTGCGAGTGTGATGACTATAGCTGTCCATATTACTCAGGCCTAATCTGTGGAGGTGAGTGATATTTGGATTATTTTTATTTACGACATAGAGCGGAGCTCGAAAGCCATACTAGGGATCATCTCATCTTTGACTGGAATTTAAACACAAGGTGTTGGCTGATGCATCCGCAAAAGAAAATAGTACATAATCAATTTCTTTTGGAAATAATGATGGTAATTAACTTGTAAATAAAATGTATATCTACGATTAATTCTGTTACAAAACACAGATACTGTTTATTCGTGGGACCACAATATACTGATAGATAATGCAGATGAATTTTAACATTCATTTGCTTCGAATTACATGAATAGCAGTTCTAAGAAGGATAACCAGGTATAAAGGAAAAATTATCAGTTTTAGTCAGTGAAGTGACAGCATGTCAGTTTTTGTCATATTGACAGGATTTTTCTGTGATGGGTGACAGTATGTAAATGTAAGTGTTGCCATACTAAATACCATGCTGTCATTTGTTAAATGACAATATGTCAGTGTTGCCATATTCTGAATAATCATTGACAGAATGCCACTGTTGCCACATTCACACCATTTTCTGTGATAATTGACAGTGCATCTGATTTTCTATGATAACTTGTTTTGTTATTATTGACAGTTTGCCTGTGTTGCCATATGTACAATATTTTTAAAGATCATTAGCAGTGTTTCGCCTGTTTTGCTATGATAACTACTTTTAGTGATTATTGACAGAATGCTTTAATGTTGCCATGTTGACCATTGTTTCTGACATCATAGACAGCTTCCCATTGTTGTCATATTGACACTGTTGTCAGAGCTTGTTGACAGTATGTCCATTTTTGTATAGCTATTTTTCTATAATCATTGACAGGTCTCAGTCGGGGACAGTGTGATTGTGGAACATGTAAATGTAATGAAGGCTTCAAGGGGAAAAATTGTGGATGTAGCACTGACAACAGTACCTGTCTCTATAATGGGGTAAGTATAGATATATACAACAATACCTGTCTTTATAATGGGGTAAGTGTAGATATATACAACAATACCACCTGTCTTTATAATGGGGTAAGTAAAGATATCCACCAGTACCTGTCTTTATAATGGGGTAAATATAGATATATACAACAGTACCTGTCTTTATAATGGGGTAAGTGTACCTGTCTTTATAATGGGGTAAGTGTAGATTTAAAGATTGACAGAGTCATGTACAGACTCTATATAAACTTTTTATAAAGGATAAACTAACAAACAATATCTATGTATTTGTAGATACTTATGATATACATGTAGCAGATGGCAGAGTAAGTTAAAGTTCCTGTGTATCTATAATGGGATAACTTATGAGCAATACCTGTTAGTATGAATGCTCTGTACTTAACTGTTTATAAGTGCTAAATGTCATGTTAATGTTTCAGGAAATATGTAATGGCCAAGGAACGTGCGAGTGTGGCAAGTGCACATGTACCAATCCAAAGTACTTTGGACCTCAGTGTCAAGAATGTGATGTAAGTAAACAACAACAACACATATTTTGTTGTAAAATTTAACATTTTATGATGCTAACATTAAGTTAGATTTTTTTTCTGATGATAAGTTTCCATTCACATTAAATAGGAAACAGATAATGGAGATATCCACAAAATCACATCTTTAAAATATCATAGGAATATTAGATAGCAACTTTGTAGAATAGATAAAAGAGCTTCTTATTTTTTGCAACTTTGTTGTTTTTTTTGGTAGCCCATTAACTTCTAACTATTTTTTGAACTAGGCAGTGTCAGATAATATCTGACTTCCCAGTAAAGCATTAATTTGCTGTGAGCTTGTTCACTATGAAAATGATGAAATGCACTTGATAAAAGAATTCATACCCTGAAACAGATTTGATGGCTATCAGACAGATACAGCATAGTCTGGTGTACATTTTTATTCGGGATTTGTCAGTTTGAAATCAATCCGCGACGATTATTTTTCATGACTGAGGAAACATTCTCTACAAATACAAAGCAAAATAAATGGTTCATGGCGATTATTATTCGCTCATGCGAATAAAATTTGGTTTACAGTAGATATTTGAAACAACAGATAGACAAATGAGATCCATCAACATTTTATGGGCATTAAATGTTGGAGGAGAAATAAGACCTGAATATTGGTATATACCTTTAACAAAACCTTTTTTCTCTTTCTGTAGAACTGTGGAGCCAAACAGTGCCGGACCCACCGAGACTGTGCTTTATGTGTAGGATTTAAATCTGGAGAGTTAGATGCAAATCAATGTAAAGAACAGTGTGGCCACACAACAGCTGTACCAGAACTCAGCAGTATGTCTAATCTATTTTCCAAGTCTAATCTAAGCAGTGTAACAAATCTGACAAAACTCAGTAGTACATGTACGTCCAATCTATTTTCAAGTCTAACCCAAGCAGTGTAACAAATTGTATGTTTTTATATGACAAAACTCAGTATTGTCTCTTGTTAATGTCTGATAAAACTCAGAAATTTGATCCTGTGTTTATGTCTAACCAAATTCAGTAGTATGTCATGTCGCTGTTGGTACTACATGTATTTTATAGGGAGGTGCGATTTTATCAGTATACCGGTATATCGTGATTTTTTATTGTGCGATACATGTCGTGATATGGAGACTAAAATACCGGTATTTAGTATGTAATTATTAATTCCAGAAATAATTAATTTTTTTTGTTCAATCTCTTAAACTACAGTTACAAGAATTGTAATTGATGTTGTAAAGTAGTAAAACAATGGCACCCTATCATCCAAACATGCTTTATTAATATATTAAAAATAAAAAAGAAGTGAAGGTATGTTATCATACTCTATTTGTTAAAAAAATCATGGAAACTCATTTAAAATCATAGTAAAAATTATGTGAAAAAATATGATTTTATCGTGCTATTTTTGGAAAAAAATCATGATATATCACAATACAAAATTTTTGGCAATACCCATCCCTACTATTTTACAACACTTAGGAATAAGTCAGATTACTTGATTTTTTGTGGAGGTTAAGGTCAGTTCTTGCTGGATGAAGAGTAAAATTTTAATAGGAATTTATCAGTGCATCTGGAACTGTATATCATTTTTAAAGGATCTGTTTACCCCAGTATTTGTTGACTGTGAATCAAGGTTCTTTCTGTTAGTTTGCTTCTTTTGTAATACATACATGTATTTGTTTTATTTTAATTTTGTTTCAAGAAAGGTTGTACATGAATGTACGTTGTAGAAATACATGTACATATGTGCGATACTTTAAATCCATTTACAATAGATGTTAAGTAATACTGGTATTTATTTTGATTGTCAGCTTTTTAAAATAATTTTGTAGTGCTCAAACTTTATTATGCTTTCATTAAATGATGTTTTTGTTTTCCAGAGAAGGGTATAACAAACTGTGAATATGTGGACAGTAATGGTTGTTTTATCTACTTTACCTACTTCTATGATCAAGACAATGCCAATCAACTCAAAGTAGAAGTATTACAGGAGCCGGGTAAGACAAGAGAAAATAGATATACAGGTTATACTGTATTTGTACTTATATAATCAGGGTTCATATTTTAGCAGCTTTGACACAACCATGCAGTCGTTCATCAATACCATATATAAATCATTTATTAATACAATGCATGGCCCAGACGTGTGTAGGGCTTATTCATGATTAAGCCAAGCACTCAATACATGTACTAAGTGACTGTGCTTAATTTTGAATATGTCAATTTATGTACATTTTCAGTAGTTACTTTCAGAAAACTGGAATTAATGGACTAGATCATAATAGAATGCACTGTAAGTAGCAGTAATTATTTATTTGCTAATTTCCCAGATTGCCCGCCTGAAGTGAACGTTTTGGCCATTGTGCTGGGGGTGATAGCAGGAATTGTGTTCTTTGGTATACTCCTCCTGCTTATCTGGAAGCTGTTCACTACGATCAGCGATAAGAGAGAACTGGCCAGATTTGAAAAGGAGGCTCAGAATGCAAAGTGGGATACGGTAAGAAGAAAAATGGGGTATAGATTTATTAAAAAGTGGTAAGGTAGATTTCTTAAAACTAAGTGGGAAGGTAGATTTCTTAAAACTAAGTGGGAATGTAGATTTATTAAAACTAAGTGGGAAGGTAGATTTCTTAAAACTAAGTGGGAAGGTAGATTTATTAAAACTAAGTGGGAAGGTAGATTTATTAAAACTAAGTGGGAAGGTTGATTTATTAAATTTATGTGGGAAGGTAGATTTATTAAAACTAAGTGGGAGGGTAGATTTCATAAAACTAAGTGGGAAGGTAGATTTATTGAAACTAAGTGGGATGGTAGATTTATTAAAATTAAGTGGGAAGGTAGATTTATTAAAATGAAGTGGGAGGGTACATTTATTAAAACTAAAAGGGAAGGTAGATTTCTTAAAACTAAGTTGGAAGGTAGATTTATTAAAACTAAGTGGGAAGGTAGATTTATTAATACTAAGTGGGAAGGTAGATTTATTAAATCTAAATGGGATGGTAGATTTCTGAAATTTAAGTTGGAAGGTAGATTTCTTAAAACTAAGTGGGAAGGTAGATTTCTTAAAACTAAGTGGGAAGGTAGATTTGTTAAATCTAAGTGGGAAGGTAGATTTCTTAAAACTAAGTAGGATGGTAGATTTCTTAAAACTAAGTGGGAAGGTAGATTTGTTAAATCTAAGTTGGAAGGTAGATTTCTTAAAACTAAGTTGGAAGGTAGATTTATTAAAACGAAGTGGGGGGGTAGACTTATTAAAACTAAGTGGGAAGGTAGATTTATTAATACTAAGTGGGAAGGTAGATTTATTAGATCTAAGTGGGATGGTAGATTTCTGAAATTTAAGTTAGAAGGTAGATTTCTTAAAACTAAGTGGGAAGGTAGATTTATTGAAACTAAGTGGGATGGTAGATTTATTAAAACTAAGTGGGAAGGTAGATTTATTAAAACTAAGTGGGAGGGTAGGTTTATTAAAACTAAGTGGGAAGGTAGATTTCTTAAAACTAAGTGGGAAGGTAGATTTATTAAAACTAAGTGGGAAGGTAGATTTATAAAAGCTAAGTGGGAAGGTAGATTTATTAAAACTAAGTGGGAAGGTATATATAGATGTATGAATACCTTTTATACCTTTTAATAACTATGTAGTGCAGTTTTAATTGGATGATGTTATTCTGCTTTTAGAACATGCAGAAGAGTATTCATTTTTTTAAGGATGCTATGCATTTTCTTTCCATTACTGTAATTGGAACTTGTAGAAAAAGTGATAACACAATCATTAAAAGCAAATCCTTACTTTAAATAAAAACAAATCTAGATTTTTTCCTTATTTTAAGAGGAGAATGAATAAGTAGTTATTTCCTCAGGGGGAAAAACATATCAACATTTTTTTTAATTATGAATAATGTTCAATAAATAATGCATGTTATTTCATCAATTTCTTTAAACAGGGAGAGAATCCAATTTATAAAGAAGCAACGAGAACATATAAAAACCCCATGTATGGAAAGAATAAATAGTGACCTGTTGTTATTTATAGTACCAAAGACAATAAGTATTTTAACCATATCTTAAAATATTGTTTGTATTTTAGGGAGAGAATCCAATTTATAAGCAAGCTACATCAACATTTGTCAACCCCACCTATAGACAGTGAAAGTCAACATGCAGATGGTCATTCAAGACTTAAAAATAACAAATTTGTATACGGGTGTATAACATGCAATATCAAAAAAAAAAAAAAAAAAAAAATTGAGAAATTTAAAAAAAAAAGCATGAGCTAAGTGAGATTAAAAAAAAAAAAATTCAAACCTGTAATGCTTATTCATTACTAATTTTAGAATCCTCAGAAATAACAAAAAGCATGTTTAAATATATACTAACAATATTGCATGGACAATTCTTTCTCTGTCACCATTTATTCAAGTTCTCTCAGAACAGTGGGGGAAAGGGGGGTGTGCATGATTAAGACTGCATGTTTACATCCTGTGAAAATGTCTTGATTTCCATCCAAATGAGACTAGCATAAAGGGGTTTAAGATAAGATGTAGCCATTGTTGCATGAATTAACTCCCTTGTCATAGCTTGCAGCCTTTTTTCAGCTGCATGATTTGTGTTGAGGACATTCTTGTAACATAAGTGAAGTGTTTGGTGACATTTTCTCCCAATTTGTGCCATTAGTAGAGTGTTACAGGTAAAAATGTGTTTTCCAGCATATTTTCCACTGCCATAGTATTGGTTTAACATGTTAAACTTGAATAATTTTCCCATCCCTCAGTTTGTAAAGTTTGGTAAATTACTAATCTAATCTAAATTTAATGTCTACAGCATTTTATTTAATAGTTGTTTTTAGCTATGCTGGAATATTCAGTTATTATGAAATTCATATAATTACATGTATATGGACTTGACATTTATTGTTGCAAAATTATATTTCCTATGCACATATTTTTATGGTTGTATAAGAAAAAAAATTAACCAATATGTGGCATATATGGATGTACCTGTATAACAATATGTGACATATATAGATGTACCTGTATAACCAATATGTGACATATATACATGTAGATGTACCTGTATATCCATTAAATGGATATGATTGGTATAAGAGAAAAAGAAAGTCATTGCCTGAATGATTTTTGATCATTTGATTTGTTATTTAACTTAGCATCATCAAAAAGTTAAGAAGAAATGTAAACAAACTGAAAGAAAAGAGCAAGTTGAAACATGAAAAACAACACTCTGAAAAGGAGTGGAATTTTCTGTAGAAAAATACTCAATTGAGGGCTAAATTGAACAGTTTAATTGTACAAGTATGTAGTCTAGACATGAAATGTCTAAATTTTGAAAGTCAAAAACATTTGATATAAATAAAATGAAAACCAACTATTATTTGCGATTTATTAGTTTGAAATCAATCCACAACTATTAATTTTCCTGACTGAGGAAATATTCTGCATAAAAATGTAATGAAAAAAAATGATTCGCGGTGAAAAAATTTTGTGAGAAAATGCAGGTCGCAGAACTCACGTAATTTCTACTTGCAAATAAAAATTGGTTTACAGTAATGCAATATGTGCCTTCTTGTACAGCACCACATTCTGTGATTTATTTCAGTGTCACCAGTAATGGCATTTTTTGTATCTTGTCAATTGTGTTTTGTGATTTTTACAAGTCTTTGAGAAGTATAATCTGTACTTTTGAGTATCATTTTGTACAACCTTTTTGATTTGTGTTAAATTAGTGTCAGAAGAAACCGAAGATAAATAATCCTTTAGAAGAACTCACACATTTCTTAGGGGAAAAAAAAAAATTAAATTAATTAAGAAAATTAAGACTGAATTGCCCTTTTGTTTGTCAACAAGTTTTGTGTGCTGATGAAGGCATTTTTTTCCTGTGTATAAAAGTATTCCATTAGAAATGGGACAACAGTCAAATTTAGAAATATTGATTTGCCCAAATCATTGATTGATTAAACTTTGTTTAATGAAAGAATTCAAAATTATATATTTTTTTTAGTTTTTAAAAGCTGTTATATAGAGTCTTATGTAATTGATGTAAGAATTTGAAATTTTCAAAAATTAAATGTTAACCAGGATATTTTAAAGTTTAGATTTTTCAATGATCATAAATTTAGTAATCTGGCTTTGTATTTCTAACTAGAAAAAAGGTAATTACATGTAGTAAAATGTACCACCAACTTTTTATTTTAAATTGCAAGTAAGCATGTTTGTGTATTTAAGAATATTCTTTTGGTTGCATTTGCCATGTACATGTATTATCAAATAAAAAATATACACTTATACCATATGAATGCAGAATAACTTTCAAATTTGATACATGTATTCTTAGACATTTACATGCAACAAAATATGTATGATACAACATAATTATACTGTATAGTTATACATTTAAAAGAGTGCAAATATTGTTGCAGAATTTGATGCTTTTCATTTTATGTTGTTTACTTGGTTTTTTGTTTTTTCAATAAAAATGGTTGTGTAATTTGTAGAAAAAATGTTGATGCAATTTGAATGAGTGGTAGATCTTTTGATATGATAGGAATAAAATTACATTATTTATATGTCTTATGTACATGTATTTGCATTATATCTTTGTGCTATTGAATGAAAAAAATAACAACTAGATTTTGATTCACATTTTCTGTCAAATTTTAAGTTTCAAATTTTAGTGTTTGAGCGGATTCCTCTTGAAATCCAAAACCGTCATCTTGCATCTGACACAGAAGAATCATAATCAAGAACCCAGGAGTTCTGGCCGTGGAAAGTGATCTGAATCATTCATGTGTTTTTTTTAAAATATCTTTCTATCTGTGCTTCCATTCTTTCCATGTATAGCGTAAAGTTTTATATGAATAAATATTTTATATTTAAATTGTCTTATAAATGAATTTTTAGTTTATCTAAGCCGTAATCTAAAGTGAACTATTCTGATAAAGAAGAAACAATATTTATGAGGGGGCTATTTCTTGTGGTGGAAGGATATTTAATAGAAAATTCTTCAAATCTGTTAAATTTTGTATCTCGGAACTTAGGCCCTACACATTTTTAGCTCACCTGAGCTGAAAGCTCAGGTGAGCTTTTCTGATCACCCGTTGTCCATCCAGTCCGTCCGTCTGTAAACTTTTCACATTTTCAACTTCTTCTCAAGAACCACTGGGCCAATTTGAACCAAACTTGGTACAAAGTATCCTTGGGTGAAGGGGAGTTTAAATTTTTAAAATAAAGGGCCAAGTCCCCTTATAAGAGGAGATAATTAAAAAAAAGACAAAAATAGGGTGGGGTCATTAAAAAATCTTCTTTTCAAGAACCACTGGGCCAAAAAAGCTGAAACTTATGTGGAAGCATCCTGGGATAGTGTAGATTTTAAATTGTTAAAATCATGACCCTCCCCCCCCCCCCCCCCCCCCGGGTAGGGTGGGGCCACAATAGGGAATCCAAGTTTTACATTGAAATATATAGGAAAAATCTTGAAAAATCTTAATCTCAAGAACCACTTGGCCAAAAAAGCTGAAACTTATGTGGAAGCATCCTGGGATAGTGTAGATTCTAAATTGTTAAAATCATGACCCCCTGGGGTAGGGCGGGGCCACAATAGGGAATCCAAGTTTTACATTGAAATATATAGGAAAAATCTTTAAAAGTCTTCTTCTCAAGAACCACTGGGCCAATAAAGCTGAAACTTATGTGGAAGCATCCTGGAATAATGTAGATTTTAAATTGTTAGATTTTAAATTGTTAAAATCATGACCCCCGGGGGAAGGGCGGGGCCACAATAGGGAATCCAAGTTTTACATTGAAATATATAGGAAAAATCTTGAAAAATATTCTTCTCAAGAACCACTGGGCAAGAAAAGCTGAAACTTATGCGGAAGCATTCTTGTGTAGTGGAGATTCTAAATTGTTAAAATCATGACCCCCGGGGGAAGGGCAGGGCCGCAATAGGGAGTCCAAGTTTTACATTGAAATATATAAGAAAAATCTTGAAAAATCTTCTTCTCAAGAACTACTGGGCAAGAAAAGCTGAAACTTATGTGGAAGTATCCTGGGGTAGTGTAGATTCTAAATTTTTCAAATCATGACCCCCGGGGGTAGGGTGGGGCCACAATAGGGAATCCAAGTTTTACATTGAAATATATAGGAAAAATCTTTTAAAATCTTTTTCTCAAGAACAGCTGGGCCAGAAAAGATGAAACTTATGTGGAAGCATCCTGGGATAGTGTAGATTTTAAATTGTTAAAATCATGACCCCCGGGGTAGGGCGGGGCCACAATAGGGAATCCAAATTTTACATTTAAATATGTAAGAAAAATCTTGAAAAATCTTCTTCTCAAGAACAACTGGGCCAGAAAAACTGAAACTTATGTGGAAGCATCCTGGGGTAGTGTAGATGCTAAATTGTAAAAATCATGACCCCCGGGGGTAGGGCGGGGCCACAATAGGGAATACAAGTTTTACATTGAAATATGTAAGAAAAATCTTGAAAAAATCTTCTTCTCAAGCACAACTGGGCCCATCGTCGCAAGCCACGGGTTTTGTGTCCATTCTATTTCCACAAACCCGTGGCTGCCTCCTACGAATTTCTCTCGTTCTCATGAATATTAATAACATACATTCAACCAATGGAATAACATCTGACGCTTGAAGTCAGAACCAATTAAAATGATCAGTCTATCTTGTATTGGGATGTAACGATAACCACGAACTGTACATCAACTTCGGTTCGAATTTCCTTTCTTAACGAGTAACGCTATTCAGCGTTCTCACACAACGTCTACATTCGAAATCCTTTATTTTAATGTAAAACCTTGTAAGTATTTTAGAATATACGTTACTCACCTCTGTTCTTCAGGATATATCGTATTTTTTTCAATAAATCTGCCACGCATAGCAAACATGATTTCATTATGGGCGCCGCCATTTAAGCGTACCAAAAAATGCTACAGAGTGATTTCATTGGTCAAGGTAAATCTGGCGTCACTTAATAAATATTCAATGATTCAGTTGCGAGAACGAGAGAATTTGGTAGGAGGCAGCCACGGGTTTGTGGAAATAGAATGGACACAAAACCCGTGGCTTGCGACGATGAACTGGGCCAGAAAATCTGAAACTTATGTGGACGCATCCTGGGGTAGTGTAGATACTAAATTGTAAAAATCATGACCCCCGGGGTTAGGGCAGGGCCACAATAGGGAATCCAATTTTACATTGAAGTATGTAAGAAAAATCTTCTTCTCAAGAACTACTGGGCCAGAAAAACTGAAACTTATGTGGGAGCATCCTGGGATTGTGTAGATTTTAAACTGTTAAAATCATTACCCCTGGGGGTAGGGCGGGGCCACAATAAGTATTAGAAGGGGGGAATCTGGTAAAGAACAGCATGGCCAGTTACTCAGGTGAGCGATGTGGCCCATGGGCCTCTTGTTGACCGTTATTATACGCTATATATAGGTTTCAATTATTTTTTTTAAACAAATTTTATACATTCATTCAACAGACTTTGCCAAGAAATGGAGATATATTGAAGACGTAAAGATTGAATTCACACTGTTCTTTGCTTGAAAATCGCATATTTATGACCAGTATCTCGGAATTTACATCACTGGTCCCATCTTTTTCTTTCGTTATTTTATACTACACGATACTTTTAACCGACTAAAGTTATTAAAAAAAATGTGTTTGTGAAACACTGATCCCCCTGTATGGCAACTTATAGCAAAGGTTAAACTTTCTCAAATGCAAATCAAATATGTTTGTGCCAAAGGTAAGGTCTTGTCTCGAGGAATATACCTGTAAATATGAAAGGCCAAGGTTAAAGTTTTCAAAAGTAGGTCTAACTCCAAGGTGAGGGTCATTGGATTAAAATTGTTTGTATCCAAAGGAAGGTTTTGTCACAAGGAATAGACATGTTAAACAAGAAAGCTCTACCACCAACTGTTCAAAAGTTAAGGCCCAGGCTCATGTTTTCCAAAAGTACGTCAAACTCCAAGGTCAAGGTTCAAAGTTGTTGGTATCCAAAGGAAGATCTTGTCACAAGGATTACATATGTGAAGTATGAAATTCCTAGCGCCAACCGTTCAAAAGTTATGGCCAAGGCTAAAGTTTTTCAAAAGAAGGTCTAACTCCTAGGTCAAGGTCAAAGGGTCAAAGTTGTTGGTATCCAAAGGAAGGTCTTGTCAAAAGGATTATACAAGTGAAGTTTGAAACCCCAAGCACCAACTGTTCAAAAGTTATGGCCAAGGTTAAAGTTTTTCAAAAGTAGGTCAAACTCCAAGGTCAAGTTCAAAGTTGTTGGTATCCAAAGGAAGGCTTTATCACAAAGAATACACTGTGAAGCTTGAAAACTCCAAGCACCAACTGTTCAGAAGTTATGCCAAGGTTAAAGTCTCATAAAATTTTGCAAAAGTGGGTCAATCTCCAAGGTCAAAAATGATGGTATCCAAAGAAAGGTCTTGTCACAAGGAATACACTTGTGAAATATGAAAGTCAAAGCTCCAACCAATCAAAAGTTATGGGCAAGGTTAAAGTTGACAAGACAGGACAAAATCAAATACCCCCGGGATCTTTCGATCCGGGGGCATAAAAAACTCGTTGTATGACGTTTTTGACACTCAGCTTTCGAGTCTGTTGATTATATTGCCAACTTGTTGTAAATGACAAAGTGAGACTTGAGGGAAGTCATGTGATACAAATTTATTACGAAAACTGCAACACAGAAGAAGATCAAATATACAAAAATAATCTGATCAGCAAACAAATTAAATTTTGACAAATTATCAGTGAAGCTACTTCAACTAGATTAGAGTCACAGGCCTTTGGATCACTTAAATCCGACTTTAAAAAATTGGGGGTGTATAAATGTTTAACACCTTAATTTTTTTTTTTAAAGCGATCTAACGTTATATGTTTACAGTATAGTAGATATAATTATATTTTTTAACAATGAAGCTGGGGAGTGCCTATGGAATTTACAAGCAAGTATATATTCAATTTCAGTTTATATATTCAAAACACCATCATACATTGGCATATAGTCATGAAATGGCATTTATCCTGCAACTACCTCTTGTATTGACCTAATAAAGGTAACCTAATAAACCAAAGCTTTATTCGGTCAATGTCCTAATAAAGCCTCGTGCATGTATTCCGACACTCTAAAAGCATTGTGACGTCATGAATATTGCAATGTTTACGCCATGGCATCTTAGTTTCAACTGTAGAGATGTACCTAAATCGGTTGAAAATAGCTCGTTTTGGAGGTCATGTAAAAATATGTTGCAGGATAAACAAAATACATGGAGACTGTCTTGAAATATAAGCGATATTTGGGCTCGGGTCGAAAACGTGATAGAGGGCTCGGCAAGCCTCGCCCTCTATCACGTTTTCTTACCCTCGCCCAAATATCGCTTATATTTCAAGACAGTAACCATGTATTTTATATATACGTCAATATTATTAGACAGGTTTCGCAAACCCTCCCGGGAAGTCTGGGGCATTACGTCATCACCTCTGTTTATAATAAAATTCTATAGTCGAAAATACGTATTTACGTGCGTGTAAATCGCCAAGTACCCGTCACTGCTAACTTCGTTTTTAACTTGTAGCTTATATATATATATATATATATATATATATATATATATATATATATATATATATATATATATATATATATATTTTTTTTTGCTGTTTATTATTATCAAAATGCGTTTTCCCATAAAACCTCATCTTCGCTAGCCAAGGGTTTCTGATACGCTACTCTCCTCATAAACCCTTGGCATACGGTACTGACAAAAGACGGGATTGTTTTCGTCACGTGATCACGATTCTTACCAGGTACGCACAGATTGCGTCATCGACAGAAATAAAAAGCGT